TTCTAATTGGACCCGTATCATGAATACGCTGTGAAAGCTTAGAAGCAGGAAAATTTAACTAGATAATTGATTTTCCTTGTTCTAATGCCGTACAAAGTTGTTATATTATTATTAGTTTACTATAATCAAGTACATTTTGGTCGCGTGTCTCTGTAAATTTTTCAAAATATATATCATTGCTTATTACAACCTTATTTTTTTTAATAAAAATCTTCAATACCATAAAAGCTAACTTATTTAAAGATAAATAAATAAATAAAAATCTATAAATAATCTAATTATAGATTAATACAAATTAACCTTTAAACGTATAAATATGAAAATTGTAAAAAATTAAATCATAAATATAAAACAATAGAACTAGAATGATGAGAAAACTCAGCTGCATTTTTAAATTAAAGATAAATCTTCTGTTATTTTTCTTTCTGCCATGTATCAGTCAGTGAAAATGCGTAATATCTGCTTACACTCCCGAGTAACAAGGTAATACGTTAATTGTGGATCGCACAATTATCGAATAATAATTATCGAGATTTTTCCAATGGGCGTTTATTGTTTATCTATGTAATATCTACCCACAGAGAGATAAACAGAGAAAAAACTATCTCTACTTCTAAGACTAAGGTCGCAAGAAGAATGTTTTTCGACACGTAGCAGGCTCAATTGCAATAATTGATTTTTAATCCCTATGTTTTAAATGTTCTAAATTAGAATAACTTAAAAGAAACTTATCAAAATCATTTACTATTTATTTACTTTCTGTCATTGTTGTTATGGTCATTGAATTGATCAATTCAAAAATATTTGATAAATAAATTAGAAGATCAAATTTGCAAATAAAAAAAAATATATTTCATTAATTAAGTAAAAGTAAAACATAAAATTGATTCTATATGCAAGCTGTGGATGCCGACATGTAATCATAAAATCGTTAAAAAATTACACACAAAAATGCAACTCATTTTAATGAAATATACCCGCCTATAAAAATATTAACCTCAAGGAAGTACCCTAACAAATAACATACGTCGTTTTTATATCTACTTTAACACCATTTTTCATCCCGAACTCTATGGTAGAGTCCCACCTTTAACACTACAATGCCGCGGAATGCGAGCCAATTAGCATTCGTTTAAAAACTCAGCTGATAGCGTACGTAATCGCGTGCGGTGTTAAGATGTCAGCGGAGCTCTACAGTCCCGCTAGGAAAATGATGGAACCGTTAGCACAGGCGCCGAACGGCGACTGCGCATTAGATGGCCTCAATTCTTAGTCTATTTAACTCCTATTAGAAATATAATAAGATAAGACATTTACTTAAATAACGTATAAATACGTAATAATAAGAAGTCTATTCTTTGCATGAATATGCTTTAATGTCACAGTATTAAAAGTTAACTGTTTCAAATAACAGTTTCAATAGGGGGCTGTTCAGATGATTTCAAGGATTCTAAATGGTCCTATGATAAAAAGTTTTATACGTTTACAAAAATGGTATTAATTTTAATATATGGTCTTTAAATACGATTGGGAGATCCAAAAAGTTGAATTAATAAAATGAAATCTTTAAAATACAGTTGAAATTTCGTCGTATAACGTGCAAAAAACTTAATTAATGTTCAAAAGTACGGTAGACCGGATTAGAAGAAACAGCAGGGCATCAAACATGCTACAAAAAATTCAAAATGATACGAGTTAAAACCAGAAATACCATGAAATACACAAAACCGATGTATTAAAATTCTCAGCCAACATATGGCAACACCGCGAATAATTCGCTATTATTATATAAAGTATTTACTCACTATGAACTTCTGTTTGTTCTCATTTTGATACAAATAATATTGAATTAAACATTCACAAGCGAACGTAAACCCGTTATAGGGTTTACGTTCGCTTGAAGATACACACATTTTAAGTCTAATTTTACTCCAGCTACTTTAGGACGATGAGATAGTATTAACTAATGTCTCAACGCCACCCCACTCTGGGAGCAGAACGTTGCCAACAAACTGGCTCGGCCGGCTGCGCAGGATCTATTTAACTGTACATACTGGTCACGGGCTACTTCCTGAATTCGAGATAGCTGAGCGTCATCTATCTCGCACCAGCGCCCGCCACTCCCGTGATACCAGTTTTAACGTTATCATGCTGCATACCGTAATTGTCGCATTCTCCTGCAGCCATTAACATTAAATAAGAACATTAACGCTGGCGAAAAAATTTACATAGCTTGGCTTTTACAATGATCATTTACATTAACTAGAATTTCTGTGAGGACTCTATACATAAATGGTGAATATTTATAGAACAAAATCCGGCATTTGGAAAACTTTACAGCATACAATCAAGTTAAAGTCAAATCGTAAAAGCTTGGTAACGGAGCTTTCACTTTTAACAAGCCTAATATTCTGTCAGTTCTAAACAGATCGAGAATCTTGGTCTGTTTTGGTTAATTAACTCTGTGATTGTATAAGAGTTTGGATAATCCGTAGTAACCCATAAATCCTCATGTTTTCAACCGACTTTAAAAAAGGAGGAGGTTCTCAATTCGGTTGTATTTTTTTATGTTTGGTACCTCAGAACTCGGTCATTTATTAATATATTTTAAAAAATATTTTTGCATTCACTTGCTGGGAGCATGTGGTTTCAGATTCATATCATTGTATTGGACATCTGGGAACTCCTCAAATTGTATAGAAAATGTATAGAGAGAGGGATATTTTTGTTAATAAAATGGTCTGGTAGGTCATAAAAGCTCTCTATTGATATGCTTTAAGACTTTTTCAATAAATATTCTTTTATGATAAACATTAAATATTTTATAGGAATTAGTAGTATCCGATCGAAGCGCATCTGATCTGCAGCTGTAACTGAAACGGAATTTGGAATCGACACCTTAAATTTCTATTGTATGCATAAAATTTATTACATTAATCTAGTTTACTTCTTCCAATCAACTTAAACATATACAACTAATTAAATCGAGTTGAATGAAAGTTTTTCTATTAAGTAATGTTTTCATTTACAATTTTTTCTTTCTTTAAAGAAACATGCAAATTACGAAGGGGAGAATAACAGCACATAATATGACGAACAAGATATGGGGAAGAAGAGCTTGTGTGGTTCTTATTTATTAAAACCTTTGGATGCTACACTCAGGGCATTGGGAGAAGTTTCACGACTTCCTACGGAACACATCGGTGCCCGTCTACACTACACGTTAACACATTTATCTCAGAAAGCAGTGAGCAGTACAGCGACTTGCCGTCTTTGCCAGGATCGCTAAAGAGGACGACGGGCCCCATACCGACGAACACAGTACTAAAATCGCCATTTACAATAGGTTAAATCTTAAATCTATATACAAGAAGTACAATAACAATAATATAAAAACGATAAAGAAAAAATGAACAACAATCGACTAATAATTATTATTTTCGATGCTGTTAATTCGAAAACCTGGAAAAACTTTATGGAAAGGGGTTTAAGCTCACTTGCGTTGCAGTAACTTTTAGTCCGTTTAATTTTTATTTTCATATAACCTTTTTATTTTAAGTATTTTCTATGCAGTGTACAGAGTTGTAGCCTATTTTAGAAATTTATAATTTTTCACACTGACGACATGTCGACCACTTATGCGTACAAGTCTGAGTTAACTTCCGGCCTATTGTTAGCCCGATAGTTCTACATACAATGTGTCGTACTCATGTACGAGTACATCGAAGAAGTCATTATATTAATAATTTAATATGAACAAACAAACAACACTTGCGCTACAAATTCATGCCAAATAAATTGTTGAACAAAGCTCATATTTGGCGTGGCCGTACACTGCCACAGATTTTTGGATTAAACCGAAATTGTGGCCAAAACTGGCCGAAACAGAAACCGAAACTTCAGCCAAACACTAGAAATTAACAATCATGTTTTATAATACTAAAATAAATGACATGTGCACGCTATATGATTGTTCCTTATCATCGGTCTTCCACCAACCTTAGAGAAACGGTAATATGTAACTCATGAAATACAATACATTTATCACATCCGTATATTAAGGAGTGCATGATGCGAGAATTCTCAGTAATGTAAGTAACGTCACTTCGCGCTTACTTACCGTTGACTTATTCTTAATGTTAAAATAAACTCTAATGTGATATGGACGAAAAATCGTTAATCGAAATAAGGTACCACCTTGTTCTTCAATGTAATACTTTATCGTATAATTAAATATTGTCTTTACAATATTTAAACAAAACGACATAGATATACAAGACCTCTAGTAAATTTATTGAATACTGGCTGTGCCCGCGACTTTGGCGGCGTGGAATTTAAAATAAAAAAAAATTCTAAAATATTAGTGGCCTAAGTTACTCCTTATTTCATCAGCTATCTGCCAGTGAAAGTCCCGTCCAATTCGGTCCAGCCGTTTCAGAGATTAGCCGGAACAAACAGACAGACAGACGAACAAAAATTGTAAAAAATGTTATTTTGGTAATATATGTACCGTGTATTATACATCCATATGCATTTACTAAAAAGCGGTTATTTAAATATTACAAACAGACACTTCAATTTTATTTATCTATATAGATGATCACTAGAGCCATGAAATTAAACTACATTAATCCATAAAATATTAAAATTCAAACTAATTGCTAACAGTGAGGATTAAGGCTATTTGCTAGTAGCATTGAGTGCACAGTATCTAATTACAGTTCCGGTCAACAATTTCGATTCTCATATCGCACAATGTGCAACAGGTTTATGTAGATTTTATTACACATAAATTAAAAGAAAAAAATATTAAATTAATTATTAATTATAACATAAAAATTAATTATTAACACAAAAATTAAAACAGGTTTTCTTTTGTTTGTTGCAGAAAAATCGAGTAACTTCGCCACCAACACGTAGAGAAAAATGATTTTACAGTCATAGCGAATACATAGCAAGAAACAGGAAAAGTAAGAAAGAAAAACGGACCGAAACTGAAAATGGGCCCACCCTTGAACACGTGGCCGTACAGCCACCACAGAATGAAAAGAGAAGAACATGAGACAGAAGAAGAGGGTACTGACAAAGTGATCACAAGTGAAAGTTATGCTCATAAAAAGTGTTCAATATTTAAATTCGTTGACAATTTCCGTGTGATATGTTTAAATTTTACATTTGCTTTAGTATTTTTCCAAGTGTTTTTAAATTTTAACTCGGTCAACGCTGGTCCGGTTTTACTTAATCTGGATTATTTGCAAGGTATTGTTTTTTATCATTTTACTCCATAGTGACATTTCCCGCCTTGGAACGAAGACATTCGCTCCCTCTTTCGTAATGCGACCAGCACACGAGTGGATCAATTTGCTGGCGTCAGTTTTCCGTGTGACTTATGCGAAATATATATATATATATATATATATATATATATGCATGCGAATAACAAAGGTTTTTACTAAGCAATGAGCAGTTTTTAGTTAAAAAAACGTAATCATCGTTCATTAATAGATAATTAGGATGGTGGAAGGTTTTAATGAATATTTTGTGTATATTCTACTTAAAGAACGATTAGTACTATAATTATATACATATACAGATTATGTACTAAACATAGATATGTTTTTATCTGAGAAGGTGATAAACGAGTTGACGGTTCACCTGATGTTAAGTGATAGTTGCCGCCCACGGACATTTGCAACACCCGTAAGGTTGCAGATGCGTTGCCACCTTTTAATAATGTGAACATGGCTACCTCATTCACCAGGCGAAATGCCGAAGTGTAACACTTCCCCTTCACGCCGGTCTTCTGTGAGATCGTGGTACTTACCTGGATGGACCTGCCCATTCGTGGAACAGGGAACTGTTGCATGGCCCTGCCATGGTTAAATGTACATTAATACTACTACTAATACTAATCAAATGTCATGTATGACCTGGCCCTCTTGGTTAACCTTTATGAGTTACGTGTAGAGAGTCATGAGACCTATATTTTAAATTCTTTGAATACATGAGATGTAGATATTTACTCAGAACCTTTAGAAAAAAAATTAAGAAATAGCAAAAGGTAAAATATTTAGATATTAGCATTTATTCCAATTGTATTCCCAAAGAATCTTCTAAATCATATTGTACTTAATTATTACAACTTCTTAATTTCTCTTAAAATGCTAATTGAGTAATCGTTAAAGAAGGAAAAGGAAAGTGTAAATATCTTGTATGTAACGTACTAACAAAACATTTATATTGTAACAATGGTTGCTGTTACCGTAAACAGCGAAAGCCACTTAGTGACGCTCATGAAGATTTAAACGCGTGTCAATAGCGTCTGGAAAAAAGTGAAACGTCCGAATTTTTCCCATGTAGTGTATTGTATTGGAACCATATGAGAGAAGAAGAAAATCGGGAAATGTATTTCTATAAATACGGGTGTGTGCTGTTGTACTCCATTATCAATTTATATGATTTCATTATCTAAAGTGTGGATCAGGTGTTTAAATTGGCAAAATATCACCAGAATCTGTCAGATTTACACCTGGCTTTACCAGTTCGTCACTTTCCCAGGAAATTTGTTGCTTAGTGTCTTATAAATCAAGGTCATGTATGTATAAATGCATTGAAATTTTATGGAAACGTCCACATATTTTGCCAACACTTTCACTTCCTTTTTACGCGAAGAGCGTTTAAGTAGGTCGCAATGTGTCACCGGCGATGAGGATCTCGAGATGGTAATCTACTCCCACGTGATTCCGCACCTTGCTCAAGTACAATAATTCAGGTTGATGACGCCTAAAAATAGATTAAATTAATAAGTTTTTTTTAAAAAAAAACATTGCCCTTTAGTATAATATTTTCCTTATCATGGTACCACCCTTGGGGTATCTTCTTTCCAACAAAAAAGTATCAATCAAAATCGGTTCATAAATGACGAAGTTATCCCCGAACACACATAAAAAAAATAAAAATATATACGGTCGAATTGCGAAACCTCCTCCTTTTTTGAAGCCGGTTAAAAATGTGAAGATATTCGGCGACCTGCATCTATCAACTTACTAGCTTTTTTATTTTATAAAATCAAAAATACATAGTAGCCTGATGAAAATATCACATATTATTTTATTGATATAAAACCCAAAAACTTATCAATAGCCATTGAAGGCATTTAGAGCAAGTCATTGGCGAATTCAGTTAATTTGACTAGATTGTTATTAAAAAACTGTTCAAAGTTTTATTTTTGTTGAAAATTACGTTCCTTAAAAGTCTTAAATAATACCGTGCATGTTGTTGAAAAAGAAATCGCTTAATTTCTTTGTACAAAAATATCCAAGGTCCAAATGTCTTCTTCGATGTAATAAGAATTTTACAAAAAGATTTACACCTGCGTCTTCGTTGTTTTTTAAAAGATGCTAATTTCTCATGAAACAATTAAATTTAAACATAATTATGTATATTGCCTTTGTTTTAGGTTAATCTTCCAAGAAGTTTGACCATATTTTTTTTATGTTTTCGAATATTAAATATTTTTGTGTAATAAGCCTCATTATATACAGGAAATGGATTAATATTTGGTTTAAACATTCAAGACTGGAATATAATTATGTGTGCGCAATAATGTTTATGAAAGCATAATAATATGCTAAATAAAAAAAATATCATTGTTTATTCTTAATAAGTTGATTAATTATAGAAAATAGTGCATGTTAATCGCTTTGAATTTGCGCTCAGAGAACAATTACAGAGCAATGCAGAGTTAATCTCATAAACATTGGACATTTGTTCATTTAAGAATTAACATTGGAATTTAGAAGGAAGTGGGTCATCGTGCCAAAATGCTTTCCTTGGCATTTTGCGGCTGAAATCCTAACGGTAAAACGTTACGAGTATGTCAAACGTAACGTAATTCGGTCGATCTCGAGGTTTGGCCATTCGGAGTACGGTTGTTGTTTAATCTGTTAAAAATAGGTAGCCATGTTTTTAAATGTAAAAATTATGAGAGCAGATTAACATTCAATATAACTGTACTGCATCTTTATGAAAAATGAAAGTTTCCGCAATCTTGTTTGATTCTCGTTGAAATCTTTTCTATGGAAGTAATAACATGATTCCACTTTATATTTTAAAAAAGTATTCTGTATTGTCATTTGAACACGTATATTAACCAAACCTAAATTACGGAACGTAGTGACATCTCTCGTCAGAGATATGAAAAAAGTGACTTAAGCATAATTTCACAGCCCGGCTCTAAATTCACTTCCGCCCGATAGATGGCTGTTGTAAGAACGAAAAAAATAAGGACATTATGGGCTATACAGTGTAAAATGTCTTCAAAGCGTGTATACCTAATAGACAGATATTTTGAGCCGTAACATTACTATAATGAAAATAAGCATTGTCTTCTATTTAACACAAAGAGATTACTACTATTTTCTACATAACCCATAAAATATTAATTATCTATATTAATATAATATAATAAAACATAATATTTTACACCCAGGTTAATTTTTGATGAATAAGCCAACTTGTAATGCATACCATCCTAGTTCAATAGATTTTACACATTTTCCCGCAAACACATTCACCTAAAACTTTTCTTTACATTTTTATAAAACATAATAACGCTTTTTGTTTCAGGACCAGTGCCACTAGCTAGAAACATAAGACACTTGCCATGCATATCCAGACGTTCGGGCCTGGAAGGCTTATGCATGTTTGCCATAGACTGCCTTAAATCAAACGGTACCCATTTAGGGACATGCATTGACCGGTTCTACTTCGGTTCATGTTGCCAAATCACTGATATTACAGCAATCCCTCACATAGTTGAAAATAATATCGATGATAACTCCATAGACGGGGCAAGTTTTGTTCATCCACAGACCGAAGACAAAGTTCAAAGCGTGGTCAATAAGAAACCGGGTGTAACAGAGCATAAAACTACTACTAACACCATCGTGGAATATACCACAGAATCACATGTGTCAGAAAGTTTACAGGATAGAACAGTCCCGGATGTGGTAGAGCACAATTTAAACGAAATAACAACGCTCGACAACAAAATCGAAAACGATGAAGGCAATCCTCAAACCATCGTCACCGTGAATACATCTCAGAAACAGACAACGAAGATTAATGCACAGTTGCCCGATGTGACCGTTACGGAAGTGCCCATGAAATTTTCAACCTTCCAATCGGTATCTGGTAGTAACAATAATGTTGAAACTGAAAAGATAGTAAGCGATGGAACAGAAAGCTCTGTTACAACCACTACTCGAACTACTGAAAATCCATTTGCATCTACCGCAACAACTGCCAGCACAAAGCCTCATGTATCTAGAAAACCTGTAAAGCCTACATATAAACCCAGGCCTACCTATCGCCCTACTACTAATTTCACTAGACCTCAATACAGCCAAAATGGAAAACCAAAACCGACTAAACCTGTATCTGTTTATAACACAACAAGAAAACCTCCTTATAAACCGCCACCGAAACGGCACTCCACTAAGAAACCTTTACCGTCTCCGCCAAGATTGAACATAACTATAATACCACAACCTACAAGCACGAGACCGCTATTTACAAGGCCTAGTGCTCCAGCCATTACTTACATCAATACCACGGTTTCGAAAAATGAAGACGTTGTAACTACTACCACTACTGTTACTACACCTAGTACAACAACAAGTTCGACAACCACAACAACTACGCCATCACCGGCTCCAACAGAAATTACTACAGATGCTTTTGAATCAACCACTTTAATATCACCGTCTACATCTATGTCTGAAATAATTACAGAAAAATCTACAGAAAAGGCTGTTGTCATCACAACGGAAGTTCCTCTAGACACTGTGCCGCCAGTGTCAGAGAAGGAAATTACTGTAATCACAGAGGCGATCACGGAAAAAGAAACTGTGAGACCGACCACTGAAATTGAATTTACTACTACCGTAATAACAACCACTACACCTAAACCGGTTCCGTCATCAGAGTTCCCTCCTTTGGTAACGTGGTCCAGTACAGCAGATGGTGGAACTAAGCCGCCTGAAGTAATAACAACAGCTTCTGATGGTGAGTTAAATTAATAAATGTTCCTATTTAAGATAAAAAGTTGTAATTTTTTTTATCATTACATTCTATTTGGTGGAAAAATAGACATTAATTAAGTGAATATAAATTTTAACATTTGATTAGTTATGAAGAGAGAACAAAATTATTATTATTAACTAGCTGCTGCCCGCGACTACGTCTGCGTAGAATAGGCTGAAGGCGTAACATTCAGACAGAAAGACAGCTATACATAAAAATATGTATATAAATTAAAGCCTATGTTTTATTCTGATATATACGCTATATTATTTTAAGTTTCATTAAAATTCATTCAGTAGTGTTTGCGTGAAAGAGTAACAAACATCCCTCCATACATAAAAACTTTCGCCTTTATAATATTAGTAAGGATTAAAAACAAACAATAAAAACAACATCAGAAATAACAAACCACTTGATTCAGTTTCTTCTTGATATTTTCTTTTACATATTATAGAGAAGTACACATTCTGTATCTCGTATTCATATTTAAAAGCCGAGGCCATCATTTATAAATGTATGATAAACAATGTGTACCTAGGTTTTTGCAATGAGTAAAAGAAAAAGTAATGTAACAACAATTTATAAATGTCCCACTATTAGGCAAACACCTCCTCTGTATAGAGAGCATTAGGACATAGTCCACCACTGACATCACTGCGGATTAACGGACTTCGTATATCTAGAAAATATTTTTTTTTGTTATTATTTCGGAAATAAACAGATTTCCTCGCGTTGTTTTCTTTCATCGCTGAGAACACGATAAGTCAGCACTTTCAATTAACCACTTCATTAATGCTGGCACCGAGGATTGAACTCAGGCTGCTAGAGTATATTGAATTTAAAAGTGAGTGCCCGGACAATGAGCTATCACGGCTCTATGTTGTTGCAATGAGTATTAGATGTCGTCTATCTGTAATGTTGCCAAAAAATAAAAAGTGAAATAATTTGGCATTCGAATGTAGTCTACATTCTATGTAGTCATGATGGATGAGGTACGTCGCCCTCTATGAACTATTCTATTTTTAAAGATTACCATCATACATATTATCATCTGAGATTAATGACTGAACTTAATATTCGTATAACGGTAAAAATTATTGTTTTAAAATTATTTTACTTCTAAGAAAGTTATTTGTCATCTCATCATTAGCGGCACTGACTCATGGAGTTGAAATACTTCACAGGAGGTGTGACTCAGCGGACGTTTGAAAGATAAATTGATGACTTTTATATTACATTCAATACCAATAACTTCTTATATATATATATATATAATAACAATAAATATATAATAGCATTTAAAAAAATAATAAGTTCATTATTTCGTGTCCCATAACAGATGATAACATAAACACAAATTGAAGTAAATTATCACGAATGCACATGACATACTAACTAGTAAATGTGTACAGTGTGAAAATTTTTATAAACATTTTAGGATAGAGCTTGATTATACCTTTATAGGTTAAAAGAATATTATTGCCAAACACGTTAAAAAAATCTGACCATAGGTTTATGTAAAAGTTTTCGCGTTATTAACTTAACGCTGATTAAGATTGCCGTATACGATATTAATGTGAGGAAAATAATTATAGACGACGGTAAAAGAAGACATTGAATACATATTACTTGATTTATGTATTCAGGTAAAAATATGGTGAATCGAGTTGAATATTTTTTTGATGTTTATGACCATGATTTGAACATTTCAACGATGTAAAGTTGAAACCCAAACGCTCTACGACTTTTTACATCTGAGCTGGTAATGGATAAACGACTCACGTATTGGGGTCGGGCATGATCGGAGTCGGGGTCAGTCTCATTGTGGTGGCTCAGTGAAATTGTACGCCTCACTTTCTTTAAGAATGATCGCACTTCGACGACGTTTTTTGTACTCTTTTTTTGTCCTATTCAGAATAAAATTGTAGGAGTTTTATCGCTAATTTTATTAACAAGACGTCCCCGATAATAGTGATTTGCGTTTTTTTATCCCTTCAAGCAATAACTTTTGAATTATTACGTGACTGAGTCTTGAAAAAATTGATGGAATGGTATAAAAGATCATTGCGTTTTCCTATAAGGATTTGTTATATTCAATTTAGTGGATAATATCAACAAGTAAAAATGTTTCTCTGAGTATTTGGGATAAATCTCTTTATAACAGTTGATGAAAAGATTTGCTCTTCTACACTTTAGATATTTTTTAATTTAAAAGTATTCTTTTACTTTTAAACAAAGAACTTATTAACATTTTTTAAGTATTTTATAGGAAGAAGATATATAATAAGAAGATATAACAGTTCCTTATTGTACTTTGCTGTGCTGTTTTGCACGAAAACATTACTTAGGATTTGACTTGCTACTGCTATAAATTTAACTATGTTTCAAACTCTTTTTAATATTTTCAGAAGTATGGTCCCCGATAACACCACCTGAGGGCTGGGTACTCATATCGACAATGCAACCCAAACCGGAAACATCGTCAACGATCCCGAAGACAACTACAACGACTATGTCAAGCACTCCAACAACAAAAACAACGACGACGGCTCCAACAACAACTACACCAACAGGCACTACACCAACAACAACTACAATCACGACTCCAAAAACTACGATTACAACATCAACAACAACTACGACTACGACTCCAACAACAACCACGACCCCAATAACAACAACAACCACAACCACTACGACAACACCTTCCACTACAACAACAGAAAAAACAACGAAACCTCCAAAGACGACCATTGAAACTTCTCCATCGCAACCACTTCTAACAGAGACAACAGCACCTAACGCTGAAGCCACAGCAACAGAGAAAGTAACGTCATACGTCCCACCAAGTTCTACCTCATATGTTACTACGTCGTCGCCGCTCCCAAGCTCATCAACCGCGAGCTCTGTTGACGTAACACTTAGTTCTGAAGCCACACCGTCTCCGACAACTGAAGCTCCAATATTAGAGTTTATAGTTAATGTGACGTTGTCGCCGACAGCGCCAACTTCGACTGTAAGCATGTCGCTTGAAAATGTCACGACACCTTTGACACCGACGAACGGTACTGAAATCACAACACTCGGATCGGCTGATAATGGTAAGTTTTTGATTAAATAATATGTTACTTAGGTGATATTGAATGTTTCTGAGACCCGATAATCATGATATTTTTTTGTTTTTGGGAATAAATGCCCTCACTATTTACCCATTTTCATTGGATCGGACTTGTAAATCATAAACCTTTAAGTGTGTCTCGTAAATTAAATATAGGTAATATTTAATTTTGAAAAATAAAAAAGTCGTTTAGTAGTATCATATTTTAGACACTCAAATACTATTCGTTATTTTAGCGGAATCTGCGGACGCGTTGTCGTGGCGAAGGACGCCATCGCTCCGAAGACGCTTTTCGTGACCTTTCTCTAATATTCTGAGCAAGCAATTATTTGCGTACCAATCTGCAGTCATGATTTACTGAAATAAGGACCGTTTTCTTCACCGTAACCCGACTTCTTTTGACTTGCGTCTGCGAGTCTTCAAATGACCACTTCTGTCAATTGGCTGTTTCATCCCAGTTCAAAATAGAACACCCAAAACTTGTTACCTGTCACGATATTATATGACTTTTCTAAATGTTCCACAGATTTTTTATCAACTTTCGGCACAACGCAGACACGCAGTTGTTTCTGGCATTCTATTAATCATGTAGTTTATAAGGAGGACTAACTATTACATGGAGTACATGAAAAATGTTTTTCTCCTGCATATTTCAACGCCTAATACATTTCAAATTGCTGCCAATCAGTACCATAGTGATGTAGATTTTTTATCATTTTCAACCAGTTTTATGTCGAACCCTGCGGTCTGGGAGCGTGTACATAGATGGGTGCTTAGAGGGATGTTCTATTAAGGGACTTCGTCTAATTTTCGACTTAACCGTTGGCTGGGAGCGATATGAACGAATTTGCATCGCAGGTGTACCTTGAGCATGCGGTGTGTTTATTTCTTCGTTCTTTTGGCGAGGACGAAAGACAGGCCGCAATAGCTAACTTTGCTATAAACTATCTGTTTAGAGGAGGCCCCAGCATTGAACGGATTTATTGTCTCTACTACATTGCGTCTCTCATGCATGAGATTAAACAATTTAACAGTCAAGAAATTTAAAAGTTTAGTAGCGTAATGTTTCTACACAAATTTTAAAGTTTTCCTAATTTCCTTATATTTTTTTTGTCTCAGAAACAACAACGCTGTCACCAAATGCTACTCAAACAACGCTAAGTACTGAAATCAACATGTCGGACTATAAAGAAGGTAAGTTACCTAAATACCAATATTTTGTAATAATTACTTACTGATTTCAACACTTCGCGAAACAGCTTTTACATTTTTAAATATTCAGTTTCCACAGTCTTACACAGAGATAGCAAGCTACTGACCAACTGATATGTTTCCAATGTATATTTTGACCTTTACAATAGACTTAATTAATATATGATATTAAATGAATTATTTAACTAGTATGAAAGTCACTGCTATTTAAGTTAAATAATGAAAATCATCGGGCAGCAATAAGTTTAAAAAAGAAAACATAAATAACCTTTCTATTTTTAAATCTTTTTATTTTAACGAGGATTTGGGGATTGAATATTCATCAATAAGTTAGTAATTTTTCGGATGTTTCTCACCCGGCAAAGGCGATAAGGCATACAACCCGTCAAAATATGAATATCATTAGCTATTATTCTACCGTGTGAGGGTCAAACGACTTTACAACTTGTTCGTTTTATTTCCTAAAAAGATAGTAACGTCTATTATATCCCCTCTAATTGAAAAAATACTCGGTAATAAAAGACAATCGTTTGCACGTGGTATCATTGCACGCCGTCGTTATTATGTTACAAAGAAATCTTCTGTCGGGTCACCGCATCCTTGGCTACAATTTCCGTGTACAGTCGCAGGAATATACAAATCATAACTTTAGTAATAACAAAAACAATGGTTTAATTCATAGGCAATACGGAAGAAGTCCGATCGAAAAGATTGTTGTATGTTAATGTTACTTTTTTACCATGTTTTATTAAAGTCTATTGACTGACTTTTTAAATTTATCAATAAATTTAAAAGACAAGAAGTAGTTACCATTAAATGATTTTAAAAAAAATTAACAATATATTTTTGGTCATTATAATTTTGTGTTTCATTTAATTTCTGTGAAATTATGACTACTTGTCAATGTCAGAATCCGACTTGTTACATAATTATGAAAATTATTTTGGATCTTTTGTCCTTGGTTTCCAACGATACTGCTTTTACCGTTTTGGCCCCAGTCTGGTGTTTTACACAAAATGTCTTCATGTCTTTTAACCCTGAGTTATTGGTTTCACACATCGTTTATCATAAATTTGTAATGAATTCGTTCATAACAACATAGAATTATCTCCGCTCTAACATTACCAGTCCACCGTGAGACATTTTTGAACAAAAATATCATCATTCATTACGCTCCGTGATTATAGTTGCGAGAATTTCGATGGATACGTTTACACGGAAAGTCACGTCGTAAAACATGCTAAAGAGGAATGGTCATAAAGACGATTGCAAAAAAAAAAAAATACACACATATGCTTTTACTTTTTAGTGAAATAGAGCAATGGTCATGTTTTGGGCCGGGACCTCGTACCCATCCCCGCCAAAAAGTGACGCATGCCGGGTCAAAGAACTTCCAAGCCGGGGCGGTACACCTCCAGGCTCCCGAGCGTATCAACAACTGCAAAAAAATAAAACCAAGTCCGTTCCGAAATTAAACAAAGAGTTGTCAGCCCGCGCGCGGTGTGGCCGGACGCCACGGCCAAGGCGAAAACAAGGACCGTCCGCGTCTTCTGCGGTTGATAAACGATTGCGCCATTATTTGAAAAAAGAATAAACTCGAAGCCACAGATCATTAATAGATATCCCTCTAATTTTGCCAAAATCAAAAAGTTTATTTAGTTTAATCAGAGTCAGTGTAATTCTTGCCAACATTCACGCGGTTTATAAACAAAAACAATCAAAGTTTCCAGATCGATCAGAGATCGAAATGAACAATCAACCATACGTGTCACGTCTAAGTTTTCTTTTCAATTCAGCTACTATTCACAAACTTTTTTATCGAGCTCATCGAAACTTAAAACCTCTTTACTGACGAAATGGCCAGTGCTCTCTGTTGAACGATGATATTGAACTCAACGCTGCTGGTGCTGGCAGTGTGCGGGCGCCGGCTGTGGCCGCAGGGGCGCATCGTCGGCGGAACCAAGTCCAGCTTCGGGCAATGGCCGTGGCAGATCTCGCTGCGCCAGTACAGGACGTCGACGTATCTGCACAAATGCGGTGCGGCGCTTCTTAACGAGAATTGGGCGATCACCGCAGCTCATTGCGTCGAGCAGTGAGTATTTATTACCTTATACCGTATTTTTTAGAAAGATAATTCTGTGTGTAACATGTTCATCTTATGATAATGGATGCAAGAAATGTATGTGTGAAATGTATCGGATAGGTATTATGGCTATAAACCGTCATCATATCATAGTCGTTATCTTCAGAACCATTATATACTCTGGAAAAATGACTCCTTTTTAAGGAAATATTGTTAAATGGGTTTGAAGCGAACGGAATGGAACCTATTCGTTCAAAGAATTTAGCTTACTTTTGAAACTAAGTTTACTCAAGATTTGTACCATATACTTTATACTAACAAGTAAATCATTATGAGTCCAGTTACACACTGGACTTTTTGTACGGTACGACCACCTCATTACTTAGCCTTTACACCTATATAATGAACCCAAGCAAAAAATTCAAAGGATGCTTTGCCAGTTAAATAGCCTTTAAATATATACGCTCATAATTTTTTGCTTTGGTCTGCAGTACAACCATCTGGCTACAATATAATTCGCAATTATTTAAAATTACGTTATTAAAACATTCCAGTTCAACATCTTCATACATTAACATATAATTAATATCAAAGCGTGTAAAAACTTTCAAGCATTCTTCTTCATTTGTTTAAAAACGAGATACGTGGTAAAACGTAGGGACTTTAAAAATAAACAAACGAATTTCTTATGACATTCCACTGATAAGCCCGGCAGATAACATTGAAATTATTTCAAGAAGTACGGACAAACGTCACCAAAAAATACCATGACGACCTCAAACTTGTCTAACCGAGCAAAGAGATAAAACTATAGTTAATCGCAGACTGTACTTGAGGAAACTGTTTCACGAAATGATAAGGAAAAAACGAGGCAGCTATTAATTTTTAAGCGCTGGCTTCTTTGGTCATAAAGAAAAAAGACATTGCCGATTACGTGCATCGCTTACCTCGTCCATAGTGCACGTTATGGGTTATTATTTTATGTGTTTAGGTAAGATTCCTAGAATTTTTACAAAGAACTACTTCATTTAATTTTACTCATGTATGTATATTCTTTAATTTTGTATTGATTTCCCAATTCTAACTTCATCGATGGTTGTGTATCGCGTCCAAGGGTATTACATATTTTTTATATTTAATTGGCAAGTAGCCAATTAAATTTTTTATTTCATTTGATCAGACCGAACAAAAATGCAGATTTTCCTCAAGGACTACCTTGAGATTTTAAACTGATTATGTTCCTAAATTTTATAAACTATATGACCGCAATCGAGTTTGCTTAAATATACTAGATTATTATTCTATCATACGACACTAACAGACACTAAGAATTACTATTTTGTGTAAGTTGAAATATTAATGTTGCTCGTTTCTCGACTTTTAAAAGCCCGTTTAAAGTTTACACCGGCATTCTTTCTACTGTGTTAGTGATTGTCGATATCCAACGATCTCAGATCGCGATCTGCCACCATAGCCGCTGCGCTGTCATGTCACGTGTCAAGTTAAGTAGAATTACACGCACGCAACAAAACAAACATAACTATGAACCTCGCAGGTCAATTATCATTCATGACTATAATAATAAATCCCGGGCAAAATAATTGCCCTGTCCTGTCCAGTGGTGTCATACATAATTCATACACAAGGTTACGTCAGCAGGCGATACTTTTGTGATACACAGATTAATGCAGGGAGCGTTGACCTCAACAATGCTTCGGAAATGCCTGCATTGACATTCCTCTTCATTTCGAAAGAGAAAACAAGATCGTTTACTTTTGCGCATGTTTACCATCCAAAATCGTATTTAAATAGACCTTCAATTATTTTCATCGATACTCTCCTTTATTTCACTAAACGTCTAAAAACATAAACCCACTATTCAGGAAAGTACAAGACTGAATACTCTTTTGTCTTCTATGTTCTAAAATCACTTTAAGTAAATGTTTCATTCAACGGAGGTAGGGCCACGCTACACGAACGATCGCTGTTGCACGAATGGGCAGGTCCGTACGGGTTAGTACCACGACCTCACAGAAGACCGGCGTAAATTAGACGTGTTGCACTTCTGCGTTTCGTCTGGTAGCCGGGGCCCACATTATTAAGAGGTGGCAACGCCACTTCCTGACATAAAAAAAAGCTTATCCACTGTGGATTACCAACTGATATATATACCAAACACGAAAATAATTTCTAAAATATTTTTAACATTTCTCAAACATATTGATTTAGAGCTTTTATAATAACGCATACGAAAGTGAAGTACCATATCCTTCAAAATTAAAAGAAATAAAAACAGTAAATTGAGTTTTAATCTCCTTTACATTATTCAACATACCAACATGAATAATGTATAACTGACAACTTAGTATGTACCAAAAAAGTGCGCGTTTTGTAAATAAACTCACAGGACCAAATACGTATAACAGCACGGCAGGCTCCTCTGGTTCATGGCCCATTATTTCTTATCGGTATTAACATTTCGTACGAATTTATGATTGGGTCCAGATTCCTTACCGATTACGTGTAAATGCATCGTAAATTGACGGTCATTCGGGTGTTTATATATTTACTCAACATATTATATTCCCAACAGAGCTTAAAAATTCGATACAGAGATAAAAAATAAGGACGGAGGACGGATTCAGACTTTCAAGCTACTGACATTTATAAAAAAAAATATAAAATTCCTGAAAAATTTAATAATGATTAATCTGATGACTCTCGATTCCCGAATCTCGTTTGTTGTAATCAATCTAAACGTTTAAACTAAAGATTATCAAATAGTATTCAAAGAAATATATATACATACATATATGTATGCATATCATCATAGGCGTATATACCAGGGAGACCGGGTGGGCCATGCCCACCCCAAGATTTTAGGGTTACTGATTCGCAATTCTAGGCTGGCTAAGAATCTTCAAAAAATTCATTGAAATCAAATAATTATCTACAGCCGAGAAATCTGTGTACATCTGTGTACATAGTTTTCACATTCCGTTTATTTACTTGTGAAGACACAACGTATTAACTAATAATTAGTTAATACTACTATTATAAATTAATAAAAATTATTAACGATAGCAAACTGTTACTTTTTTAATACGACGTACAGTAAAGGCCTAGGCCCACCCTGAAAAATAATTCTACATACGCCAATGCGTATCATTCATACATACATGCCTTCGGAAAATAAACTGTGGAAAATAATATTTTGAAACAATTTTTCAAAATATTATTTTCCATAGTTGGACAATCCATACTAATATTATAAATGCGAAAGTAACTCTGTCTCTCTGTCTCGCTTTCACGCCAAAAGTACCGATTTAAATGAAATTTGGTACACACATAGTCTAGAGCCTGAGAAAGGCTATTTATTGATTGGAAAAAATTGTTGTAAAGGATTGAAAAATTAAAGAAAGATATTTATTTAAGGGCTTTAACGCAAGCTAAGCTGCGGGCGAAAAGATAGTTTTTCATATATAGACCGACATCCAATTTAAAAGAACAGAAATATATCATTTCATACAGAAATATACAGTTTTGGTCGTTATTAATCCCTTTCAAGCAAAAAAATGTTTATTTGCAAAATGTGCCCGTTGCACAGAGTTGTCGCTCAATGTCCGTGTCCCCCTCTTTTAATTTAGTATAAACAACTAGGTACCAAATTAAAAACGATTTACAAAACAAATGTCAAGTTAAATAAAAAGTACCCGGAGGACCGAGCTTTGCTCGGTTTGTTTTTTTTGGTAAATCGTGTATTTTGGAAATTAAATTTATCGATCTTACCGACGTAATAATAAGAAAATATGAACTGATGTTTTTCACAAAAGAAAGAACTTTAAAAACAATAACAAAATAACTAATCGACAAAAAATTAAAAATAAACAAAACAATGATCTGGAATCGAGAAAAAAGTAAAAAAATAAATGTGTAAATGATCGTGACGCGAACCACGGCCGTCTGTTTTGGGGCCGCCCGATTACCGACCGAGCTATTATGACATTTTCTCTTGCGGCGAAATTTACCGTCATATTCGAATTATATTTTTCATTCCCTGAAAACAAGGATAAAATGACATTTTCTGAAAATGAAACCTAGCTAGATCGATTTTTCGCCCCCGCATCTACGCACATACAAAATTTCATGAAAATCGCTGGAGCCGTTTCCGAGATTCCGATTATATATATATATATATATATATATATATATATATATATATATATATATACAAGAATTGCTCGTTTAAAGGATAAGATCAACAGTATTGAAATTGAATTGTTACATTTTAAAAATGATGTGGTGTCGTGGGACACCAGGTAGGAACGAAGTTCCTTCGGCTAATGTAGAATCGACACAAATTGCAAAAAAATCGTGCTCAATTTTATGTAGGTTTTCTTGATTTTTCTCTTAAATTTTGATTAGTTTTTATTTAAGTACAAGAAAGTATGGTAAATGTAAATAACTTTAACTCCGGCGTAATTCAAATCAAATAAATTTTAAACGATAGAGAAAACTCACTTATGAATTTATCAACAAGCAGAATTTGGCGGTCGCTTATAGTTTTCGAAAAAATAAATAATGAAATAGTGTGATTTTTTACTATAGAAATCCGCCATTTTTTGTTGTCAATATGTCAATTCAGCTCGTATTTCTTGGTGGTCATAAAAAAAAAAACCTAACATCGAAGGTTAAGGCGGGAGCTCAGCTCCCGCCTGAACCTTCTAACCTAATCTATCCGAGTCGGATTCGCTCTGTGTCGGTTCTGTGACTCATTAAATTTAAAAAATCGGAATATCGATACGTGTATGATGGCGCCCGCTTCCTATATTTATCATGTTGGCAGAACTGTGTTAAGAACTTTTGAAGTCAAACGAATAAAATGGTGGATTTCTTAGTACAAAAAACAAGTTTTAAATATTTTTTTTCTCGAAAACTATAAGCGACCGCCGAATTCTGCTTGTTGATTAATTCATTAGAGATTTATCTCTATCGTTTAAAATTTATTTGATTTGAATTACGCCGGAGTTAAAGTTATTTACCTTTACCGAAAGTATTTAGTAAATTCAGTATTTTAGGAAATAATAAATTACTTAAAATAAAAAACATCGTAATTCAAATTATCAACTAAAATAACAAAATATGTCTCTTTATTTTTGCTTGACAACATAAAATTATGCGACTGTCGCGCCTGCGCACGTCTCATTTAACGGTTTTATTCCACGCACTTTTTCTTACGGTTTTACTATCACATTTTTTTCAGTTCGGTTGCGCAGCAAAATCCCTATCCCCTCCAAGCCTGCCGTAAGGAACTTCGTTCCAATAAATAAAATCTACACTGTAATCTCAATATCATCTCTTTTTTAATTCTTCTTCTGCTTCTCTTCAAACTAAATTAAAACGTATAATTGGGTGATCAGATCCGTTCCAATTATTTATTCAGTGTTATTCACATCGGCCAATATTAAATATATTAATATATATTCTCGTGTATGAACTCGCCTTTTGTTTGTGTCCCGATTATACGAAAAAACCACTAACACATTCAGTACTAAACAGGCTGGGCTAGACTTGAACGATGATTGATTTAAGTTTATGGACATGTTTGTTAGCTATCCATATCCGACCGTGAGGTTTAAAAAGCGCAGAGCCTTGCATCTTTCAACACAAAAAATCGGAATATCATTATAATATCCGATCCAAGTAAATTTATGAATCACATTAGATAGGGGTCCATGGGGGGGACTCGATATGATCATGATGATGATGAAGTTTTTTAAACAAGCCTAAATTAAATTCACTATATTGACGTTGATCCTGTTTATTTTCGTAGCGTACCCCCCTCGGAGCTGCTAGTTCGACTCGGCGAACACGATTTGGCGACTGAAGACGAGCCATACGGCTTCGCTGAGCGCCGGGTGCAAATTGTCGCAAGCCATCCTCACTTCGACCGGAACACGTTCGAATACGACTTGGCGCTGCTTAGGTGAGTTGTGCAACAAACATTGAAACTATAACTAACTACTTATATTAATAGATCAATATGAATGTGGAGTGATAAGTACCAGGGTCACGGAAAGCGGAAGTGTGTAATCCCTTCGAATCAAGATGAATCTTAAGAATAAGACAATCTTAAGAATTTATATCCATTATTTTTTAGGCTTGACATGACAATAAATAAATACGGATAATAAGGAAAAAGAGTTAGGATCTCGTGACTTGGAATTTCATTTTAAATCTGTAGGAATTTAAATACTAATATCGGTGTTTCTAGAGCTTTTTGAGCGTTGCATAGCCGACGCCTCAATTCGGGGTACCCTTAAGAGCCAATAAAATGTTATTTGTAAACGAAAAGCATAATAGAAAGAACTTGATGGATGTTCGAACAATGTCACGATAGATTTAATCTTGACGGCTCCAAAAGTAATTAGACCATAAAACTTAGCAGTGCATCGGATAGTATACCATCTGTTATAATCACGGAACGCTAACGAATCTTTAAATAGAGGTCAAGTGTAATGGTGAGTGACCGAAGAAAAACACTTCAGCTTTGGGCTTAAATGTAAAAAATAAGGTCATTACATTGGACGGTCACCATCGTAAAATATTTGCTTTACTGTCCATCCTTAGTCACTGTTTACACGCCCAATCGATTTGCATATTCTACAATATTTGCATACACAACTTAAGATTTATTAGTAATATAAACATTCTAAATAACAGTAAGAGAATGTTGGTGAGGAATATGAACCAGGCTATAATGATTTTAAATATTAATTTATTTATTTAAGTATGATAGTATACCTTTATAAATGTTTGTTAAATACTATATTTACTAAAGAAAACTTGGCGCAAATGATATTTAAGCGGTCATAACATTTTGTATCTGTATTCTGTCATAAAATAAAATTTCCTTCTGAATAAATGTGGTTATAAAATGCCTGCTTCAAAAAACATAAAGCTTCTGCAAATATTTGGAATCAACTTCCCTTTCAATGACACTCGCTGAAACTTTCATACCTATACTATGTATATTATCATTCCTACTTTACTATTACAAGACAATCCTTTTAGTGTGTACATTTTTTGCTTACTAACAATCAAATGAATAAAAAAAAAACACCCCAGATTCTTTAATAATTTACGGAATTCGTGGTTATAGGACGGCTTCTCTGTGTAACGAAGTCGTTACAGTCAAATAAATTTGCAACTGCAACAATCTTGCCGCAAAAGAAAATACTTCGTTGGCGCGCTCACTAAGTCATTGTCATAAAATTCCCTAAATGAAACAAAAATAAATTAAATCCGCAATTGCCACGGACACTGCATAGGTCCATGGCCCGACTATACATTAGACGTTTACTATTTTTATATTTTATGCAATTTAAATCCATAGCTTCTGTTTCCACAATTGATGAGGTAATTCTTCTAGGTTCTATGAGCCCGTGACGTTCCAACCGAACATACTGCCCGTATGCGTGCCTGACAATGACGACGATTACGTGGGCAAGACGGCCTACGTCACCGGCTGGGGCAGACTTTACGACGGTCAGTGTCGCCTTTTTCATCACGATCGTACTTGTATTTTCATTTCTACCTTTCTTATTTAAAAAAATAATAATTATAGTTAACAATGAACACAGGTTTATTTAATTAAATGTCGAGATATTTCTGTGAAATTGCGTTTTTAGGATCCCGTACCCAAAGGTTAAACGGGACCCTATTGCTAAGACTCCGCTGTCTGTTTTGTGGTATTAAGACAGCTGAAATTTTCACATATTATGATGTACTTCTGTTACCGCTATAACAACAATATAATACTAATAAAAAAAATAAATATATTTAAGTGGGGCTCTCATACAACAGACGTGATTTTTTTGCCGTTTTTATAGATAATGTTACGGAACCCTCCGTACGTCCAACTCGTACTTGGTCCGTCTTTCTTTAACCATTTTGTTTTGTTTTATAAATCCTTGAAAACAGAATACGATATTCTGAATATTATTGTTAAAGCGGTTCTCAATATTCAGAATTATTGTAAATAATATTAATGTTTATAATATATTACATTGTAATAAGTATCCTTCATTCTCTTTGCCATTCTTTGCCTAGTGTAGAAAAGGTCACTATCGTTACGGCAAGTCCTGAATTAGGAAAATTGTGTTTATAATCCGCAATAATGTTATAAACAGCTATCAAAGTCGCGTCGTAAATGCATGTGAACTATTTTAATTAAAAATGTCCTTTAAAAAGAGTGTGTAAGAGAGTGTAAAAAGGATCACCTTTTAAAAAGAATTTAAAAATGTTTATTTTATCTTTACAGGAATAAATTAAGGAAACAAAAAAGAATTAAAAGCAATCAGTTATAAACATAAATATGTGAACTAAACTGTTGCGTCGGGTTACATGACGAAACAGTTTAGCTCTTTTACGTTGTCGTCTGTTCGCTTTTCAGAGGGCCCGTTGCCGACGGTGCTCCAGGAGGTCCAAGTGCCCGTGATCAATAACACCGCCTGCGAAGCCATGTACCAAGCTGCCGGGTACACGGAACACATCCCCAACATCTTCATCTGCGCCGGCTGGAGGTCAGGTGGAGCCGACAGCTGCGAAGGTCCGTTGGCCCTCTTGTAATTCGATACCGAAACTCCCCCAGGTCCTATAAAATAAAAAAAAAAATAATAAAAAGTCATTTATTCATCGACTTAAGGGAAATACGTCATAAAAAAGTCATTTATCTATAGTCATTTTTTCTTAATCTACCACCGTCTCGTAATGAGGTTCCTCTAACGGAGAAGAAACAGACGAAAGAAAGTCCATAGGTATTCTATTTTTGTCAATTTTTTTCTCAACAAAATTAAAATCTTATACAACTGTTTTTTTTTTTTTAGAAATGGCTTAGGTGGGATCAACTCATTCCCAGGGGTTATTGTCATTGATGTATTCATTTATATTATAATAACTCTGTTTATAAAGTGTTTCTTTAAAAAAATTTCTTAAACCTGTTGATAGGCAGGCTTTGCGCATTTACTGGGATAAGTTCCTCCAGGTCTTTTGTTCTTATTTCATAGGCCATAAGTGAGACACACTCATGGGCAATAGACAAAATGGCCCTGATTGGAAGGAACACAAATAGATGCACTTGCAGACAACTCACTACACATTCGAACTCGTCCCCTCAGATCGTATTTTCTGACCGCTCAAGACTGTCTTTCAAGAGACTTACTTCATCCATTTTATTCAACTATTTAGACCCCACTTCTTTAAAGGTTCTCAACGCAACGCATCGGCGAAGCAGATGTCCCTGGGCGGCGGTATTCATCTGCTGAACGGCCTGATCGCTCACAATGTTTCACATAAAAAAACACATCCCATTCCTCCATTTATCCCATCCCACTCTAATTCAATATTCTCGAACAACCTGATTGTGATTTCGATTCCCGGTGCCGGCACCAGCGAAATTGTTAATTTTAAACGCTGACTTATCAAATACTGAGCGGCGAAGGAAAACATGGTGTGCAAACCTGTATGTTTTCAAAATAATTAAAAAAATCAATTTGAAGTCCGCCAATACACATGAGGTCGCGTGGTGGACTCAGCCGTACAACATCTGTTTATAGGAGGCCTCTACCCAGCAGCGGGATATATATACGCTGTCACTTACTGTATTTATTTGTGTTCTAATACTGTATACAGGAGGCCTTATCTCTGTAGTGGGACATGAATAGGCTGTTACTTTGCTATAAACTATATTTATTTGAATACAATATTTACAAGATTAACGCCCGGTTTCTGAAACACTGATCATCGTAGATGTCAACTAATCAGCCCTTAAATGGCTTTTCAAATTTCATTTTAGGTGCCAAAAGGATGGTTAAACTCTCTGAATTGATCAGAACGATCTTTTTATGGATCGGAATGATTAAGTCAAAAAGTTTAACCATCCTTTTGGCAACTTAAATAACATTTGAAAAGCCATTTCACAGCTGATTAGTTGACATCTGTGATGAACAGTGTTTCAGAAAACGGGCGTAAACCTGTCTAGAATACTTATAATATTTACTATATACTTATACTTATAATGTATACTTATTATTCTTACTATTATACTTCGCTTCACTCATTTGATTTCTAATACGTTCCCTCGCAGGGGACAGCGGCGGGCCGATGGTGGTCCAGAGGGGGCGCGACGGCCGCTTCGTGCTGGGCGGCATCATCTCGTGGGGCATCGGCTGTGCGGAGCCCAACCAGCCGGGCGTCTACACGCGCATCTCCGCCTTCCGCGACTGGATCAACCAGATCCTGCAGTTCTAGACGCCCCCGTCGGAAGGGTACACGGAATATATCACGTTAACGCGCCTGATCTGCAGCCGCTGTAGACTACGGGGAGTTTAAATAGGCTATATCTGGTGTGCCATTGGCAGTTATATCCCCACCGGAATCGGTGCGGCGGATTTGAAATACACATAAGATTCTAGCCCATCCGGGTGGCAAATATTGCATTGTGTGAAATTAAAAGCCCTTTCAATTGATAAGTAAGTTTACAATTGTAGTACGAATACCTACGTATTTTTTGAACAACGTTGGATACAATTCGGCAATGCATAGTGGCTCTTTAATTTTTGTACCTTTATTGTACTTATACCAAATCAGAAACATTTGTGCACTCATACGCTTCAAACGGAATGGCATTCGTTTTCCTATTTCATTTTCAATGTTGAGTCTTCGAAAAACTTCGATCTCAGAACATTTAACTAAATCTGCGTCAGCCCTTGAAAAACAATAGATGGGTATATTTTCAACACATCCAAACGGAAACCGTAATCATCGACCTTTATTAGGCTGACCTTAACTTTACTTACTTGTGTTGTAAATTTAATCAGGCTCCTTATTGAAGCGGGCTATATCGTTCAGAGTTAAATTTGTCTACATTCATTTAAACTGGAATAAATTTAAAACATGGCAAAAAGAAAAATAAAGATGGAAATCGGAAAATATTTTTTATAATGTTTATCGTTGTATTCTTGAATAATTGCTCATTGTAACGTAACGTACATTTAAAACGCTTTTTCAAACAGCCTTTTAATTTTATGTTACGGTTTTATTTATTCATTAAAAATTAAGACCGATTATATAAATTAGGAATACAATAAGTGAATATTGAAAATCATGTGAGGTGTAATTTCAAATAGGTCACTTTACATTTTAAAATAAGCTATAAAGGTTAAATCTTGATAGTATCTCTTTCGTATATTAATGATTTGTACAATTAATAAGTTGATAAAAAACCTTATAGTATTGTTTTTTACTGCCCATAAGTAAATAGAAATTATTAAGGCTAGCTTTTATAAGCACAATAATTTAACAACGAATTTATAGTCTTAATTTAATAAGACTTAATTAATTTAATAAGAATCTATCAGTCTTAATTTAATAATGTAGTAGATAAGAATCTCGATTATTTATTTATGATTACACGCCAAACTCAATCGATAATTTCATTTTTATATTTGTAACTATAGGAAACTATTCAGATGTATTAATATATATTACAGTAACCACTTTATATAAGTAATAGACGAATTCTTTATAAATGTTTAAATAATTACATACAGGGCACGTGGCGCACAACGAAAAGTTACATTACCAACTTAAATATTTTGTAGAATGGAATCGAACTTGGGTACCTCGTCCCCAGTCAGCCACGACTTTATAAAACTCTTTATTTTTTCTTTCCAATTTTAGCATATAAATTAATTTACGCGTCTATCTCATATTAATTAATTATTATACCGTCCATAAATTATTTAATTTTTAGGCATACTTTCTTAATGTACATAACGTTTAAATTCGAATTAAATGCATTTATTATTATTAATATTATTTATAAAAAGCCATTGCTGGAAACATTAAATTGTTCCAAAAAACTCATAAGAAACATTGTAAATTTTTGAAATAAATAATTTCCTATGTTTCTAAGTTATTTTTCACTGTTAACGTAATCGTATACTGTTCCCTTAACTAATGTGATAAATCCTGCTAATTTTAGAACAAAAGCGAAAGTAATAAAAAAATGTGGAACGCTTCACGATTTTGCGTGTCATCCTTGCGCAGGGGCCATGCTAATCTTCTCTGTATCGTTCCAATTTTAGTATATGTACTGCCGAAGCAAGTACACGAGTGTTATGAAAACGTTTGTATATATACCGACGCTCTACGAAAACTTTAATATCGTGTTTATGAACCTTTGATATAACTGCCATCTATTGTAAAAATAAGACAATTATACAACAACAGTAGAATTTGTTAGCATAGTGTCGCATACATAATTAAAGTAATTAGGAACAAATTTTAATAATTATTAACGTTAATATTGCATACAGAGTCTATTAAATTTTTACATACATGGTTTAAAAACGATTGTTTTTTTGGAATATATATAGACGCCATCTATTGCAATTAAGTAAGATCACAATGGCTTGCAGCGTGATCACCAAGTGATCACAATTCATTCATCTTATTATTCGAGTTACGACTTATTCGTCATCAACTTATCAAAAGTCCTCATATAATATAGGTATTAAAATACTTGGCTTTGACATTATTGAAAATTTAAAAAAGTTTTTCGAAAGTACCCATGTAAATAAAATATGAAATTGTTAAAAATGATGAAACCCATCGCTAGAGAAACCTGATTTTTTTTATCGACTCATTTACTTTTTTAGGTTTCCGTATCCAAAAGGGACCAAATTACTAAAGCCCTGCTGTCTGTCCGTCTGTCACCGCGCTGTATCTCATGAACCGCGATAGTTAGACAGTTGAAATTTTCATAGATGATGTATTTCGGTTGCCTCTATAACAACAAATACTAAAAAACAGAATAAAAAATATTTAAGTGGGAGCTCATACAGCAGACATGATTTTTTTTCAGTTGTTATAGATAATGGTACGGAACCTTTCGTGCGTGACTCCGACTCGCACTTATTAAAATGAGACATCACACAACATCAACGAGGTTGTAACATGAAAACCATAAAATAACAGATGTATTTGGGTTAAACGAACCTATAATAATAATATTACACATTTGTAATAACCTGAAGGCCTTGATCGTGATCAGATAGGCATGCTTATGAAATTATAACATTGTCAAAAATATAATTAAGTATAGCATTATCAAAAAATTGTTGAATATTGTATAGCCATCTGGGAGTAAATGAGATTTGAAAAAATCATTATCTCGAAAAAGTTAGAAGAAATTAAATAGAATAATTAAACTATTTGATCTTACTTCTCTAATTAAACTATTTCATTGTGATTTCATGAAGCAGATTACCGTCGGATATAAATAAATCATAATATTGACTAAACATTTAAATATTCAGTGTTAAGAAAAGAATATAAATACTGATAAAGTATACTGTAGGTGTAAATATACTTTTAATTTATCAGTATTATGTATTTATTACTCGTAACTAATTAATTACATGCATTTGAACTTGTTTGCTTTGCATTTGCAACTCTGTGGGGGAGGCCTATGTTCAGCAGTGGACTCAAACAGGCTGAAATGATGATGAATGATGATGATTTGAACTTATCTCAAAAAGTGCGTGATTTTTACGAAACTCATCGCGATCATTCATAACTAACACGCACGCGGAATGTATTACACTTTTACTAAACATGCTCTTCTGCTCTTATATGTAAATCAGAAATCAACACAATCATTTTAATAAAATTTATTTATTGTTTGTTTTATAATTACAAAAAATCACTTCATTTGAATCATGTGAGCGAGAGTCCAGTCATGCTTGAGTTCTACAGGATCTTCAACAATAACTCCATCGGCTGTTACTACCCCAAGTTGATAGCGAGGGAAAGAGCGAGCATCACGGTAAAACAGAACTTCCATGCACTTGCGAGCCAAAGCCCTAAAATTTTTTAATGGTCATGAGAATTCATATGTAATGAAAACAGATGTTATCTATTCCTTGAAGAACATTTTTACACCAAAAACCTTATCTTATCTAAAAATTGGCAAAACCTTATGTTTTTCTAACAATCTTATGTTGAAAAAATTTTGTAACATACTTAGCAGATTCTTCATCTAATGGTCCTTTCTCAAGTGCATCACGTAATAATGGGGTTGCCATGTATGCACCCATTCCAGTTGCAATGGTTGCATCTTCATATGCTGTACCTAGTTTGTCCACTGCTCCTAAGAAAGGCTCACCATCCTTAAAATACCAATTTTCTTAATTAAACAAGAATAAAGAAAAGGTTTTTAAATAAAAATACAATTATAAATGAAATGATATAAAATATATTGTTATGAAGACAAGTGTGGCCCAAAAAATAGCAAAGTTATATTTGCATTATTTTCATTAATAATTAAATTAAATCATAATTAAATTACAAATTATTTGTTATATCTACTTTATTACCATATTAAAAGAAGCTTATGTTGGTTATTGTTTAATTTTTTTTTCACTTATTGTCAATTTTTTTCTTAAATCAATCAATAATATTCACCTGAATTCCAGCAACTACATAATTGTTCCACAATGGGTCCATTTTGCTGCGTTTGTTGTATAGGACACGAGTCAGCCAGCAGTACAAGGATTTGGGCTTCAACTGTAGTCCATCACCTATGCACTGTTCATCAATACTGTAAAAAAAAAAAAACAATAAACCAGGGTAATATCGCAGAAACGTAGATTGTCACCAAACATATTGTAAATAGTATAAAATTACTTTAAACTAAACTAAAACTTTATAGAACACATGGACATTCATGTTGTAAAGTAGGTATTTAAACATTTTTAATTTAAATTTGAAATAGGGCCATATTATTTAATATAGCAATTTGTATTATTTGACTTTTTCCATTGGTTAATTACTGCTACACATATGATATATGTTACAACATTTAATCATTATTTTATTTCTTTGGTGTTAGAATAAACCTTTGATTTCATTATATTTTTAATTGTACACTATAGGTACAATTCATGCATGAGATGTTTATTTTTTAAATTTATTTAGACAGCTAATTTAATTTATCAGCTCATCTACCAGACACTTAGGGCTGCCAACTTTACTTTAAAATAACATATCCTATACTTTGTTTTTGGTAAACATACTTTATACTCGTTGCCAAAAGGATGGTTAAACTCTTTGAATTGAATATTCTACTCAGTGAGAAGATCATTTTGGTCAATTCAGAGAGTTTGACCATACTTTTTGGCAATTAAAATGAAAATTGAAAAGCCGTTTGACAGCTGATAGTTGACATCTACGATGATCAGGATTTCACTTTATTTCTTCTCTACTAGAAAAATGTAATAATTTTTCTCAAAAACAGTTGGCAACTCTACAGACACTATGTCATTCCCATAGCCCTAATGGTATCATAGTGGAAATTCGATTATCCGGCCCTCAATAATACAATTATATGGACTACCAGGTAATGCAAGAATATGAAACAGAAGATAATGTACATTTGGAAAATGATGCAAGAAGGTCCTGGAAACAGATCTTAAATGCAAAACAAAAACAGTATGACATTGTATGTTTCCTACTTTATGATATAGCAGCAATGTTAATTACCCAATATTTAACTCAAATTAAACTATTTTATTTCACATTTCTATGTATGAAAATATATCTATTAAAAATATCTTGATAAAAAACTGAATTTGTTCATAACTTTAATATGTATAAAAAAACATGTTGTTAATGTATCATACATTCAAGTATCCAGATTACTTATTGACTAATATCCGAATGCGGATAACACTGTATTTCATGACAAGTTTTGTTTTACTCACATTTTTTGTTCAATTATGTCCCTTAAATATTGATAATCGGCATAATCTCCCCCAGAGCCAAGGAGAATTAAATCATTAACCTTCAGCACTCGGGGGCAATCTCTAAATCGGGCCAAAGATCCATACGACCCAAGGGTGTCAGCAGCAATCACACATCCTTTGTCAAATTTCAAGCCAATTACAGTTGTCGTCGTTGTTATAGGATTGGCTGAACTAAAACATAATTGTTATAAGGCAGGGTCAACTAAATTATAAGTTCTTATGAATGAAAAAACTTACTGAGCTTTAAAATCCTGAGTACTCTGTCCAATGGGTCCATTACTTGAATTTCCAGGAAAGTTGTAAAAAGCAGCTGGAGCAGGACCATTTTGCCAAAAAGGTAATGGATTTATCATATCACCCATAAATGCCATTTTACTACAGTTTACTTTCGAAATAGCTAATTATAATAAAATGCTCCTGTAGTTTTGCATGTGAATGACAAGCGGCAATGAAATTGAAAATTGATTGAAAATGACAATGCACAACCAAGAAGCAAAACGTTCCATTTTAAAAAGTAATGAACGTTACTTTATTAACTATATATATTTTGTTTAAAAAAATGTACAATCTAACTTACAACCTAATAACTAAACCCTAATTTCAATTATTGAAGGAATGTAAGAACATTATGAATAGTGATATTGTATTATGCATATCTAACTTATAAAGGTAACTAATTGCGTTAAGTAATGTTTAAGTTTAAATGTAGCAATTTTAATTGATATATGTGAGTAAATACACTTATGGAAAACTACAAAGTGCAATGACTACTTTTTAAGACCTTTTGTTACAATAATTTCTTATGCATTATCTTTATTAGCTACAAATTACTGAGACTTACAATACGTAAAATGTAACAACAAAATAATTCACTTAAAAATAAAACTAAATTAAATTAAAATAAACTGGTGGTTAAATAGCAAATAATATTATTATAAATATTTTATTACAGAATTTAAATCAGTATTTTTGGCAATATTACAGACTTTAGGAGATTTTCTACCAATGGTAAGACCAACTGCTAACTTCAAATTCAAACTTCAAGTTCTTTTGGGTTCCTTTCAAAAAGTGACACAACAAAATGTCTAAGAGAGGTTCGTGAATTATAAAATATCCACTAAAATCCAGTCGTTTGTCTAAGAAATTACTTAACAGCAATGTAAAACACACTCTTCGTAAATTCGTTCTTTGTAAAATGCGTATATTTTCTATAGTTTTATTATTTTTCTTCATGTGTTAAGTGTTGTAGTGAACGACGCTAAAGTGTGCAAATTTCTGTTTTAAGGACGTGGTGGTTCCGCGGGAGCAAAGTTCCGTATCTCACTGGGTCTTCCAGTGGGAGCCGTAATAAATTGCGCTGACAACACAGGTATTGAACGCTTTTCTTCATAACCTATATGCAATAACCAACTGAACACACCGATGATGTTATATTATTAATAAACACGTTGTGTTATTGAGTCATAATGATGTCTTCCTTGGCTGTGTCTGAGGTTGTTCAGTTGTATCTAAAGAATGAATTGGCTTTCGAAAAGATTTTTTGTTTCGAGTTTTGACAAGTGCTTATTTAAATAGTTTTTAAATTTTTTTGAAAACAATTATTTTTGGCATGTAATACTTTGCTCAAAATTAATACTTTGCGTAATATATTGCTCAAAATTATGTATAAGTCCATCGTAAAAATGGTTTTTCTTTATATTAAAATTACTTGTTTCAATGACTACTGCCATTCAATACATTTTTTTTATGTTTAAGGAGCTAAAAACCTCTATGTGATTGCTGTACAAGGTATCAAGGGTCGCCTTAACAGGTTACCTGCTGCTGGATCTGGAGATATGATTGTAGCCACTGTCAAGAAAGGCAAACCTGAACTAAGGAAAAAGGTGAATTATACAGTACTTCGTTTTGACAGACATATGAACTATGTATTCGGATGCAATGATGATATGCCAATGGTTTCGCTTACTTTTAAACCTGATTCCATTTTAATGGATGTAGATATGCCTTGGCTGACTGAGCAATTGAGGACAAGCAAATGTGATGAGTTTCACTGATTAAGTGTAAAGACTTTTAGCAGGTTTTAATTAATTTACTAAATTTAATACTTTTTTTATTTAACCTTAACTATGACTTCATGACTGAGTAAGTCACTCATATTATAACTATTGTGTATTTTCATTTGAAACTTTTAAATTTTATTATAGATTCCATATCTTTAAATTCACTTTAAATATTTTAAGGTAATGCCAGCAGTGGTTATCAGGCAGCGAAAACCATTTAGAAGGCGGGATGGGGTTTTCATATACTTTGAAGATAATGCAGGTGTTATAGTGAACAACAAGGGAGAAATGAAAGGCTCTGCCATCACAGGACCCGTTGCTAAAGAGTGTGCTGATCTGTGGCCCCGTATCGCCTCCAATGCTAGCTCAATAGCTTGAGGATCTTAATATACTGTTAAAACTATTAATTCTTTTATTTCAATATTAAATGAGTTATGAACACCTTTAACACCAATCTTACTTTTAGCTTGTATACAAAAATTGTCACATGTGTCGGTAGTTTTGCTAAGGTACCTATAGTAATAGTTAAAAAAAATGCTTGTAAGACGTTATACTTTAGTGTTAGTGTAACAAAATTAAAATAACAGCATAGGTAAAGTAACCTTTGTTTTCGAAAAAGGATATTAAATGCAATTGATGATCAAGTTAAAAAGTTATTATAATTTTTTTTATGTGAAAAATTGCCACGCGAACAGACTAGGTTCACCTGATGTTAAGCGAATATCGCCGCCCATGGAAATCTGCTATACCCAAGGGTTCCAGATGTGTTGACAACCTTTTGAAAATTGGGCTCTGGCCACCTTACCAGACGAACCACGAAAGTATTATACTTCTACTTTACGCCGGTCTTCTGTGAGGTTGTGGTACTTACCCAGACGAGCCTGCCCATTCGTGCAACAGCCAAGGCTGCTGCGTGGCATTACCACCGTTAACACCGTTTTGTTGCGACGATAACACCTTTAAGCTTAGCAACCAACTTCATCATGTCGGTTTACGGGCGCATCATAAAAATTCTACTCATAATTTGTTCTAATCGCGCCAAAAGATGTACCAACTGTAAAAATTTTCAGTTCATGATAACAATCAAGAAGATAGTATAATCTCATGTACCTATTTACTAGATTGTGTTTCCAAAATCCATATGAATAAAGTGGAAATCTATGAGTGTCAGTGAAAGCTGTTGATGTCTATATTGCTTAGATGACCATGATCTTGAGTGTAATCAAAATAAAATTATTGAAAAAAATCAATAGCCAATGTGACTTTTAAGTTAAGACTAAGAATTATTGTAAAAATGTAACTTGGTGTAAAAGGAAACACTAGAGAATACCAAACATTGCTAAAAATGCAATAAAAATAAGGCGGCAAGATATCAACCGCTTAGCTAAGAGAGCATCGTGACGTTAGGTAATGCTGAAGGCGCCGGTTCGAATCTGCAGCAGCGAAAAAAAAAATACGACAGTTTTGTTTACATTGTTAAATTAACTTAAATTACATTGTTTAAACTATGACAACAACTTGAGTTTGAATCCATATGGTGCCAATGAAATTATTGTAAAATATTTATTAATTTTTAATTTCCAGTCTGCTCAACCAACTCTAGTTTGCTTTCCAATGCTAGCACTAATAAAATTGTAGGAATTTTAAGAACTGAATTAGAATAACATCAGCATTGAATAAAAATAAAGAAAGCTTAAGGATCCTTCATATATTCATTGGTGTGTATTTCATAGTAAATGCCCTGAACCCTCCATACAGAGGAGACCTTTGTCCAGCAGAGAAACCTACCTATTATTCTGTTTTTTATTCATTTATATTCACACATTTGTCCACATTGGGCAATGTTTTACAACATTACATATTTAAATACATTAAAGAATAACACCTTGCCCTATATATAGCATTCCTAACAAATGTTTTATGTTACAAGCTTTTCGTTTTTACAAAACAAATGCAAATAAGATTAATTGTCCAATATTGAAAATAATTATGAAATGAAATGAAACAAAGTATATAGAAAGACTTATATTATTTAAGTCAACATAGACAATACAGTATTATGGAAAGCACTTTACTTGTGAATTTATGAGCAATACACAGGACACAAGTTTCAATCCTTTTATATCCTCTGTGTTTAATTTAAAAATATACAATTATAAAGTATTTCCAATTACTTTTCATGGTCTGTTAAGTTAGTTAAGCAACAACTGAAGTAATAGTGGCATATTGGTAATACATTGAAGAGAGTGTGTGATTATTCAAGCTTTAAAATTAATTTTGTAAAGTGCAATACATAACTGCAACTACAACTCATTTAATATTTGATCTTTATCGTCTCTTCTTGTGGGTTTTGGTTGGTCCCTTAACAAAACACCAATCCACAGAGATTGCCTGTCCCAAAATGTCAGCACCGTCTAGTGCTTCACGGGCACTCTGAAATAAAAAATTAAAAATGTTATAATCAGAGTAACTAAATTATGTGCATTATAAGAATTTCTATATCCACTTTCAAACCAAAGTAAGGTACTGGGAGCGTTCTCATGGTGCTTATTTAGCTATTCAGAAGTTCATGAGTATTGTGAACTCGCAGGGTGAGCATGTTAAAAAACAAACTACTTTCTTTGCCTATGATAAAGAAGTACCCTTATATGTTAATGCTTAATTTGGGACTAGATAATGTGTAAAAAATAAAATCCAAAATATAATTAACATAAATAATAAGGTAATGAATCTGAAATTAAAATAAAAATGTAGTGATGAAATCATGTAATGAATTTTTGATTTTTCTTGGCTTTGTCAATTTGTCACAATTATTAATTAATTATTGGTACAAAATATTTGATTACTGAATCTTCTACTATGAACTGGGTTTTAACCAATAATGTAGACAATTTTCTTATGAGTTTTGTAAGTGAAAATTGTGCAGAAAAACTACAACACATTCCTACATAGTTCAGTATAAAGTAAGAAAAAAAATACTCTTACAGCTGCTTGCTTGTATGTTTCGTATTCCACTAGTGCATAACCCTTCAAAAATCCTGTACGCCGATCCAAATTCAGATGGATGTTTTTTATTTCTCCAAATTCTGAGAACTGGTTCTGAAATAAACAAAATATAAAAGCTGAACAAAAAATATTTCTATATAATAAAAATATTATATTCTGTAATAATAAATATACTATAAATATTTAAACTTTCTTATAGGCACCAAATATGTAACTATAAACCCTGTCATCATCTAAATATGTGTAATATACTATGTATAAGAAGAAGAAGTCATAACATTTATTTCAGTATAAAAAAATAGTTACAACTGCAATTACTTGTATATCTTCCTCCTGTGCTTCTTCATGAACATTGCTAACAAATAATATCCATCCTTCAACTGAACGCTGTGGCCCAGGGGCGTTACCATCACCTTCTGGTGCTAGGCTATCATATCTGAAAGTAAAGTTTGTTTTATAGTTTAGACAAATATGTATAACTGTATGTACAAATATCGGGCGCAATTTTATGTGAAAAAATATATCACTTATGATAAGATAAACAAGGTAATTAAACATTGACTTAATTACCTCCCCCTATTTCCTCTTTCTGCTGCGCCACCTCCACCACCTTCATTGCCAAATCCACGTCCTTTGCGTTTTCGTGCCTTTTCTTTTAATCTCGCAATTCCCTCTACAACGCAAGAAAATGGTAAGTTAGTAACTTTTACATACTGTGGAATTATTTGGGAAACAAAATATAACCTCTTACATACTTTTTTCCAAAAGTATGGTGCATCTGCTAAATATAGGTTTTACAAAATAATAAATTACAATTGAGTCTAAGATTACTCACGTTCTCCGTCTTCGTCGACTTCAAATTCCTCTGAATTCTCAATGTCCAATACATCAGCCATTGCGGTTTTCAATATAACTTTTAATGTTAAAACAAACTACGTTTCAAAATACGGTTATAATATTTGTTCTTCACAAACTAATCAGGTAATTGTTTTGATATATTTTTCTAGTTTCTAAAAACTATTTCTTCATCTTGAATACAATAAATATGTGTGTCAAGTCAAACAATCATCTAAGATTTATATTTACCCGTTACCGTAAATTGATGCGATGTGAGTGTTGTGTTGTGTGTAATTGTGTATAGGCATGGGCAAAATATATCGATATATAAAAATATCGATATTTTTCCAAATAAATATAGATAAATATCATCAATACTTTTATTCCCGATATATCGATATTTGATATTTATTTTTGATCATCGAATTCGTATCAATTTCGATATATTTTTTAACGCAACTTTGATTTGGTGCACCTTCACGATAATATTTTTTTATCAAATATTATATAGCCTGGTTTCAAGACCTTTAAGCCAATACCATGAAAATATAAATTACAATTACTATTAAGCCATCAGTGTGAGACATGTATGACCCTGAAGTTAACAATTTTCAGATCTTTCTTTCAACAAATCAAAAAAGAAAAAAATACACATGTAGTAACTTAAAAACTTTAAGTACAATTTTTATATATTTTCTTTTATGATTTATCGTTGGAAAAAGTTTCAAATATTATTAGACGTTGGCTAACTTCAGTATCATGAGAAGTTGATGAACTAATTAAATTCTTCAATTATTTAGCGTGATACTTATGTCAGTATGCTTGATTTAATTTAACGCCATGATGTTCGATGAGTCCAAATCGTCTGCGGTCTGACTGATTAATATTTTACAATTTTAAGCAATTACAAATTAATAAATTTACAAAAATAACACACCTTAAAAAGAAATTCAAGAGTCGCCCTTATGTATCTAATTTGCCAGGCTTCCTCTGACAGTACCCAACAATAGATTCCGTTTGATAGCAAAGCACATTAAACAGAGGGTGCTCCTAATGTCCATATCAGATGATTATTGGTTCGATTAAATTGTATTTGATTGAGTCGATTATTAATAAATATTACTTTTTTCTATTTGTTTATTCTTTTTTAGGAATTTTGAATCGTTCGAAAATATAAATAATTAAAAAAATATATCGATTTATCGCTATTTTTCACTCGATAATTATCGATATATTTTTTTACTTGCTCATCCCTAATTGTGTATCATCAATTCTCATAGAGTATATAATATTAGTAAATATGGAATTTAAAAAAATGTTAAAACAAAATAATTACAATAAACATCGTATATGTACATGTGTACTTTACATTAAACTAATATTCTCCTATAGGTAAATACAAAGTTCAATATTGATATAAATTACTTTTGTAAAGAAGGTAAAACATTTACTCAACCATTCTCTTATTTCTGTCAGTTTTGTAAGAGAAAATTTATCTGTCAGAAATATGACGTAATTTTTTTTAGAAGTTACTTTGGTTTAGTTTAATTTAACAGTAAATATATTCACGCTAATATGTTGAACAATGTAACAAACGACGAAGGAAGCGAAATAAATGAAATTGATAACTTATGTTCAGATCAATATATTAACTCTTTACCTAACTCAAGACCTTCCACTCCTATAAAATTTGACCAAGTAATTATCGATAAGTATACTGAATTTATACAATCAAAATCCAATTTGATATCAGATACTCCACACGTGGAACCTTTAGAAAGACCTTTCGATTTCTTTGATGAAGAATTTGCGTTTGGAATCAACCTTTTGAATAAAAATGTTGCGTGTGTTGGTAATAACATGACTAAGCTGATACAAATGGGTGAGACTTTAAACTTTTTTTGTGTTAGTGTAGATAGAAGCCCGTCGGCTTTCACAGCTTCGCCGAAAGAGGACCACCGGTAAACGATCCGTGGTCCTCTTCCTACTATAAGAAAATTAACGTTACTCGATGAAGGCGTCAACATTACGAATAAAATTAATTTACCAAATTGAGAATTAATCATGCACGAAAACACAAGATTCACGATAAAAATAATTTGATGGAAACAATTTTCGGACATACGAAAGTTTTGTAATTAATTATGCAGCGATTTAACGATCGTAGACAGACTCGCTATTAAATAACAATATAACGTAAGTGATTCAAAAGCGGCCTGTCCCACGAGGGTCTCTCGTGTAGGATATGAACCGGGGACCTCAGGACCGCCATTGAATGCGCTTAAACATATTTTTATGATAATGTGTGTTGGGTTGAGTCGTCGTCGTCCGGGTCTTCTACAATGCCTTTTAAGGGGCTAAAGATAAAAATGAAGGGGATAATCCTCGATACCCGCACCTGCAGTACGGGTATCGAGGATTATCCCTCATGACCTGGGCTTCATCTCGAGGGCCACTTAGTGCTCCTCGGTGGTTGGGGCCTTATAGGGTGCAGCAGGATGTTGTTGACAAACACTGTTTTTGAATTAAAACGCCTAATCAGCCACGGCGTAATTGAACGCCGTAGTGTTCGGCGAGAAGGGTGGTGATAATTCACATAGTCGCGTTCCACGGGTCCTCTCCGTTTGCTATTGCGGCAAGTATGGCTGTCGTAGCTTTGGTGATGGTGCGTGCGTTGGGTACCGCGCTAAGATCCAATTTCGTCAAGTCGCTTTTTAGCTGTCCACCAACGGGCTTTTGTTGGCATTTATTAGTGCTTATTGTGATTTCTTTTCAATGTTTCTTCCTAGAAAGTGGACAGGGTAGTGATATAGTGGATCGCAATGCAATTCGGCGTTTCACGTGTATCACAGGGCGCCAGTTGCACGAAGAAATCGGTATGGAATCACTTAAAACGGTTTCAAATGTTTGGCGGGTATATGCGCCAAACCGACACTCGCGTATGTTATTATGAGACGCATACATGCTTTTGAATGAACTTTATGCGTTATTATTCTTTGTTACTAGACCTACGTGTCAGGGGTGCCAAACGGGTAATTACGTATCGCCTTATTTGTTACAGTGCTAATGTTTGAATGCAAGTTTTTATCTTATTTGGTTTTACTTTTACACGAAATCGGTTGGACGAAAAATTTAACGGGAGGATTTGTCCTTCATTGGCATGCCAAATGACAGTTGAAAATGTACTCTTGTCGAACCAATGCTTTTTGAAACATTCACCAAGGACCATTATTGCAGATCGTTAGCGGATAATAATCACAGTTTTGTTGTGATCAGTCGTGTATTTCTGGTGAATAAAGAATAGATGGTGGAAGAGAGTACTGGCACGAGATCGGGCACAATCAACTCGAAATTAAAATTAACGGTTCGACAAGTACTCATATGATTATTATTCTGACTGGCAATCATAGCGAGCGATACCTTCATGCCAGACTGTGTTAAATGACTTCGCGATGTTAAACAGAAGTAACTCCACGCGAATGTCTTTCGAGTGACGATTAGTAAATATGTGCTCCATGCGGCGGTGCACTTAAACTCTTGAGTCCTTAAAGCTGAACTTTGAATTAATATTGAATAATGGAACGTATTTTTTAATCTTTACTAGGATAACTCGTTCGTAACTGTTCACCAATCCTCTCCACCATATATTTCTAATACTAATAGACCGATAATTCAACACTCTGGGCTTATTGGGCTTAGGGATACCGATGACATGTGCTTCTCTATGCTTATCTACGTGTCGGAATAAAAATATTATTATTCACTACTTTTATTAAAAATAATCTTAATCGGTCTGTTGAATGTACGTTATTAGGCTATGATAACCCGCGACAGTGTTTTCGTTGTTTTTTTGTTGTTTCCGTTTTTTGTATAGAAATCAATGTTGAAAGACATCTTTGTTGGTAACCATAGAGTAACTTAAAAGGGTAACATTACGACCGATTGTTGTTAACATTTATGTTAACGTTGTTGGTAACATTACGACCGTAGGGTTCCCGATGGCCTAAAGGACCCGATTCCAAGGCCGTTTAACTAATAAAATAAGGGTTCCTGATCTGTGATTCTGATTTGACAATTGATATTGATATTGGCATTTAAAAACTGTCAGATTAGAATGTTATGAATTTTTAAATAAATAATTCTTATCTAAAAAAATATAATTTAGAAATTAAAGATTTGTCACAAATGTCTCTCAAGGATTCCATAATGACTTCTTTTAACGGTAATTTAAAATACTCTTTTAACCGGTTTAAAAAAGACGAACTTATTCTTTCACAAGTTACATAATTTTAGGAATAACTATTTATGTTAGTATTTTGATGCTATTTTAATTATAGATGCAGGGTGGCCTATATCTCTGTGACTGAGGTTACATCATTCGTTTATATCGAGTTCCTTTTTTAAATTTCAAAAATGGGTGACGACCCATTTATTTTTGGTAGTACTCTTTTATTACCCAAAACCTATAATGGATTTCGAAATATATCATAAAATCGTGTTTATTTTTCACTAACCTTAAGTTTCTTACATTTGTTGTTTTATTGGTTTACATGTATATATAATGTTATCTAACCTTTAAAGTCTACATATGGCTGGATTACTGTGGAAATATTTTAATATGTTTTAAAATATAAATAATTGTGTTAAGAAATAACATCCCTGTTTATTGTATTTTTAAATAAAAAACTTCAATATCTGTCAGTTGTGGTGTAATATTTTTTAAATGCATGTTATAAAACTATTCTTCTAATACCTAATATTCTAATAATAAAAGTGATTTCCAATTTTAGCTCAAGAGCCATGGCCAGAAAATGTAAAATTATTTCAACCCTATGAGGTGGAACAAATTTTGCTTCCCGATAATGCTAGTTGTCTTGCTGTTCAAGCCTTCCTGAAGGTAGTGATAAGTATTCAATTATGAATATGAAATGAAGTATCTATGTTTCAAAACATTATATAACATGATGTGGTTGATGTCTTGCTACTATTTTTCAAAGTAAACACCTTTCAATGGATAATCAATGAAATGAACAGATCATTATGATTGTATGAAATACAAAACAAGTAATTTTGATTAAATAAGTTATTATAATATTAAAAAGCTATTTAAAAATAAAACCATGTCTTACCTACTGAAAATTAAATTGCTAAGTTGAATTGTGCGACATATTGGTATACAAAGTTATATACTTAATGGTATATCTATCCTAGTAAATATAATGATTATGTCCTTCTGTATTAAGTTAAATAATAAATGAAACCTTTGAAAGATGGTTATAGTAACTTAGCAGGCAGTTTTTTAATTTTGTTTATTGCAGTTACTGCTTAATTAACCTGTCATATATTATTTCAGATGTGTAATCTTCCCTTTGAAGTGGAAATGCGTTGGAATGCTGAGTTCATGTCACCTTCTGGACGTGTACCTTTTATAAAATGTGGTGCATTTGTGGTGTCAGAACTGGAACCTATTGTCCAGTTTGCAGCAAACAAGGGGGTGACACTTTGTGGGCGTTTGTCAACTGAAGAGAAGGCTGAAATGCGAGCTTATATGAGTCTCATTACAAATGTTCTTGTGAATGCAGAGGTAAAATTTTTATTTTTGTTCCACCTAGATTGCTTCATTCCAATCTTTATGTAATATCATAAACATTTAATCCTGCACAGGTGTGAGTATTATTGATAGGTGCACTTACCTATATCCAAACTTCTTATCTTCCAATCTTGTGCAGCCAAACGCACTTGCTCTATCTTAATGAAGACTTTTAACATCTATTTAAATAACTAATAGTGTATAACTTAATAGGGATATTTATTCATTGTTATAGTGCATGCATTTTTTATTTTAAACATGGATAATGCTGCATATTTTTCTTTTGATTATCTTAACTATTCATTAGTATTAAATGATTAATTTGAAATAATTCTGTAAAATACAAAGAAATCTGAAATTGTGAATGAACAAAAATGGTCAAGTGCGAGTGTTTGGTGGCATTATCTATAAAAATGGCAAAAAACCATGTCTGTTGTATGGGAGCCCCACTTAAATTTTTTTTATTCTGTTCTTTAGTATTTGTTGTTATACCGGCAATAGAAATACATCATCTGTGAAAATTTCAATTGTCTAACTATCACGGTTCATGAGATACAGCCTGGTGACAGACGGACAGATAGACAGACAGCGGAGTCTTAGTAATAGGGTCTCGTTTTACCCTTTGGGTATGGAACCCTAAAAATGGTATACATAAAATCGATCTACTTATTTATTTAAATGATCACAAAATGCCTTTTTTTAATTGAATCAAACATCAAATTATTATTATTAAAAAACGCTGCAATTTAAACAGTGAACAACAAAAACTTTTACTTTAAATATTTATAAAGTTTTATTATAGTTTCATTCTTTGCCCGTAACTATTTATGTGAAGAATGAATTGTTTCACTGTTTCATTTAAAATTGCTATATGAATGAATGAATGAATAAATGAAATATACTTTATTGTACACAAACAACGGATATTGCATAATCAACAAAAAATAACACAAAATTGTACAATAGGCGGCCTTATCGCTAAAAAGCGATTTCTTCCAGGCAACCTAGTAAAAGGAGATAGTAAAAACAGTAGCATCGGGTAACGGTGTACACTGAATTCATAACAGAAACTAATAAGTTAAAATATAAATACATATTAATAAATTATACATAAATACACATGCAGACATCATATATAAATATATACGTTAAAAATAATTTATAAATATATAATATAATGTATTACTGTATAATATAATGTACATATAATAGATATAAGTTGACAACATATATGGTCTGTTATTTATTATTATATCTAAAAGCTTCTATTATTCATGCGTTATGATAAGTAAATCCTACAATGAACCGAATTGTACTTATTTGTTCACCTGTTTTATTTCTTTCGCTTTTTCCTTTAACATATTTTTGTTATCAATTTACAGCTGTACATATCATGGGTGGATCCTGACACCTTCAATGCTGTGACGCGTATACGAAACGCTTCGGTGTACCCGTGGCCGTTGGGCTGGATACAGACCCGCTCCAAGCGGAACAATGTCATTAAACGGCTCAAAGCACTGCACTGGTATGACAAGACCCTTGACCAGGTTTTAGCCGATGTGAGTGTTACACGATTTATTTATTGAAGCTTCACAGGCACTGGAAACACTAAGAAATCACAACAAAACAATAGTTTAAATGTAATGTTAATTTTATAAAATACAACTAACTTCTAAAAAAGTAAAAAAAAAAAAAATCGAAATTAAATCTTATATGTTTTGATAGTTCACATAAGTTCTAAAAATGACAAATAAAAACATTGTACATTTGATTTTCATCAATTGCTTTTGCTACATACCTAGCTACCATCGTTTGACTAAGGCAATTTTTAATACAAAAGATACAGAGACAGTTCTGGACCGAGTCACAAAAATTGCATGAATATCTTACACCAGCCATTCAATTATTTATTTGACTTTTCCTAATACTACAGTAAACAATTTTTTGGTTTCAAATGTCTAAGCAGAGTATAATTAGAACAACAAGAGCAGTTGGAGCCAAGATTCCCACAAAACAGGTTCCTAGTGAAGGAGCTAGTATACTTTGTAAATTTTAAAGTTTTTTATAGTGCTAATCTCTGTACTTAAGATTGAACATTAAAACATGTAGAAAAAGTACGAAAAGATTGTCCCCGCTGTGGGAATCGAACCCACGTCTTCGGCATTCGCGGCCTGACGCTCTAGCCACTGAGCTAAACGGCTGATAGCCACAGCGACGAAAATCTTAACGCCTTCCTTCTACATTGTTATTTAGCATTTGAATAGTATACTTTGTGTCATACTGATGCATAGACATTATATGATGACCATATTTATACTATGATTATATTAAATACGTAACTCTTAGGTTATCTTCTCCTCGTTTTACTTAGGGATACACGAGATAAAGTTGATTGAAACTGAAATTTTATTTACATTATGTTGTTAAATTGTTTTCAGGTAGAACAGTGCTGCAACTCTTTGAGTCAACGTCTCGGCGAACGCGACTACTTTTTCGGAACGTGAGTATATTGACGATTAGGTTATAGAGAATCACCGTGTTATTTTGTCTGTATTAGAAAAAAAATCAAATGATCCATGACTCAATTTTCAAAAAAAAGCTTTTCATTTTGCGTATTAAACAATTAGTAGAAAACTGAATCAAGATGTCCCTCTCTCAATAAAAACAGGACTGCAGTGTCGATTTGCAAAACGATTATTGGCCAAAGCCAGGTTTATTTTTATTTTCAAACGTATATTTTTCTTATCCAAGAAAAAAAAAATGTTCGTCAACAAATAAGTTATGACAGTATCAAATTTCGTTTCGCGCCAAGGTTCACAATAACATATAGTTTTAGTAGTTTATTTTCTTATTCACGTCAATCATTCAGTCCATTATCTGTGCTGACTGTTACGGCCTTAGGGATGTTCCCTGTCAATGTAATACATTCCTTCCAACATCCCGTACTATCTTTTCCTCGTCCCGCCAGTCCCACACCACTAGACGCCTTGGCGTACGGTCATATCCGTGCGATCCTATCAGCCAACGGGCCGAAAGCGGCGATGATGATAAAGCCCATCACAAGCGCTCTGCTCAGACACCTGATGCGGATGACGAACTTGACGCGAATGCCGTTAACGGTGAGTTGAAGCTGTCATTTTGAGCGCCAACGTTAACTGCCTCTGATAGTTGTTGAAGCCATCGCGCAGTAGCCGGGATAGTGGCTTCGACGACGGGGTTCGATTCTAAAACGAGACGAGTAATTGTATGACCCACAGGTAAAGAATTGTTTCCAATCTAGGTGTTAGACCACAAAGTTTGTGTATGTAATGAAATGATAGTTATTTTTGATATCAATTATGATAAATTTAGAATGATAGTTATCTTTGATAACTATATATCGAAGAATTTGTAACTCGAAATTGCCGACGACCGAACTCCGAAAAACGACTTTGTTAATCAAAATTATTAGCCTGCATCGTTTTTATATTCAATAGTTCATTTGTACAAAACAAAGTACTTGAAGTTGATTTATTAACGAGATGTTGAGCTATTTGGAACAACCAACAAATTTTCCTTTAAATTTATCAACTCTGTAATAGAGTTCATATTTATCAGTTTTCACTTTCCTTTTCATAGTTTCGTCTTTATAGTCTCGCTGATCGTTATTAATCGCTCACTTTAACCGGTCCAGCCTCAAGAGGACTACCTACTCAGTCAGGCCACTCAGATATCGCTGCGGAAGCGTGTGCCGTTCGAGATGAGCACAAGCAAAAGTAGCACGAGGGTCAAACGCTCCAAGATGTGCGTAAGCGTAAAGAGCCCTTGCAAGCACCTCGTTCCGAGCAACAGTGACGTCTTCGGTTATTATGTTTTCATGTCGTAGTTTCTGCTCGGTAGCAATTGTCCCATTTCGATGGATTCGTCGCGGGTGAAAGCTAGTATACTTACAATATGGATTTAGAGTATGCAAATAACATTTTAATTAACAAAAAACTAAAGCGACTTAAACTATCCATATTTTCTATGGGTTATATGACATATCTCCGTTAGATATTATACCAACGAAATTATTATGGGAATATATGGGAGAACGGAACCCAATGCAAAGAGAAATTTCAAAAGCGGTTCATTAATGATGGTATTCCGAGGTCATAAATCTGGGAAAAATCCCTGATTTTGCAATGAAGACGAGATAAAGACTGCTCCAATCTCCTGTGATTGATGATTGAATAAATCCCATACAGTTAACTAAAAGGAACGTTATAAAGCTTACTGAATTTATGTTTTTATTGTCTGTTTCACAATTCTATTAGCCGTAAGATTTTCAAGCAGTTTCAACTATACATACATATTTAGTTTCATACCGGTTATGAAAATTAGATAGCACTTGATTGGTCGTTTCTACTGAACAATATACATATAATTGCGAAAAAAATTAAAATCCGTAATCATTATAAATGAAACTAATTTTTACGATTATTATCGCGTTAATTTTTAATTTTAATTCCCGACGGGACAGACTGTCCCGGGACCATGAACGCTGTAAAAGGTTCGAAACGTCGGGAATTAAAATTAAAAATAAACGCGATAAATTCGTAAAAATTAGTTTCATATAAGTATAATGTTTAATCGCGTAAATACAAGAAAATATCACCCGTAATCGTAGATAAAATCGTAAGTTCCTTCATTCGGTAAAATTAAATGTACTAACCATTAGTTTGTGTAGCAGTTATTAAATATTTTATAAACACGCAAGACTTTAGAAGTAATAAACCTTCAAATCGCACAGGCTTCAAGCCGTTTGCCTCCAAACAAATAATAATAATGACATCCGAGGGAGGCAAAATAAGTTGCGAATGCGATGGCGCTTTGGAACACCTGTCTATAAACAACGAGAGCTTTGCGTTCATGGTCGAAATCGTCGATGAAATACTCGCGAAAGTCGACGAGATCACCGCCATAATGCCAACGAGCAACGTTGATAGGGGAGATTTCGTTTTGATCCCGTGCCCGAATGCGAATGACGAATGCAATTATCCCGATTACGAAAACATGAACGAATATCTCGAGACGATCGCGGAGAGCGATTTGACAAACACAACGAGCTCCGCCGACGAAGACGATGTTGCACAGATAATAAATGATGACGAAATCGACAGCGATGGACTAGTGAATGACAAACATCTGTCCGGAAATGTCGTTGCGAATGACAACGCTAATTTCGCGCACAGGTACCCGGCTTCCGTTTGTTGTTTACGGCAATGTAGTTTATTCGGGCGATTATAGAATTATTAAAAAAAATGTCGAACATATAAATTAGTTGTCTGCATATTTATTCGTTTACTACTTATATTTTTTTTTAGTTTTTTTTCGGATCGTTATTGTTTGTTATTTTTTTTGTTCTAACAGTAATAATGACCAGTATATTGAAGATTATTTGGATGTCGTTGGAACTGAAAACAAAGAATCTTACTCATCCTTAAATTCTCAACTTGCGTCCAATGTTTCAGGTTTAAATTGTTTTTTTATATTATATGTGTAGTCAATTATTTTCTACCAATTTTCCTTAGTTTCTATATTTTGCCTTAAAAACATTGGTTGGTTCTTAAATATAAATATTTATTGCTAGACACTATATTTATTGCGTATCTCACAAAATCTTGGGTTTTATTTCAATGAAAATAAATAAGAAAAATTTAAATTTACAGGATCTAAAACGAACTTAATGATAGACTCTGGCAGAAAAGAAATAAGCATTGAGAGTCTGATGGATTATTTACGGAAAAAGAACGCAATGACGAACAATTTCATTGAAATTGCTGAAGTTGATTAACTTCAATACACAGATAATAAATTTGAAAAGTATTTTTCATTAACAAAATGATTCTAGACTAAAAAACAATATCCATATTTCGAAAGAATTGTATAGGAACTTGTCATTTCTAAATGTTGATCTATGTAAAATTTTTGGTATATATTATAAAATAAAAAAAATGTGTCTTTCTAATTTTTATGTTATGCCAACTAAACTAATTCAGCAACATTTAAAATGGTGCAATTCTCTTTTCATTCCCATGTGCTTGACATTGGCATAATTCTGTAAAGAGAAGCCGTAAAGAAAGGAAGAAAGAAGATTGTTACTCGCCTTGCGCAATCGTGGCCCAAAGGCTACTATAATTATTATTTATTAGCATATGTAAATCCGTCTACACGTTTCCTAGCCCATATTTTAAATATAAAATATAAAAAACTAGCGGACCGGGCAGACCTTGTCCTGTACACACGACTTGAATCCGATAACAACTAAAAAATAAAAATAAAAAAAACTGGTTTAGATTCACAAACGAATTGTGAATCTAAACCATCCGGGGCGCCACCCAAACGAATACAAAAAATCATTCAAATCGGTCCAGCCGTTTAGGAGCTCAGTGACAACACACGTACAATAGAATTATATGTTTTTTTTAATCCATCATTATGGGTTATGAAATTGTTAAAAAAATCAACGTAAAGTATTTGTTTTTTAGAAAAACCCGGATATAAAAGTATGTTTTTTTATTAACTCCTAATCGCAAAAGCTAATGACCCTATATAATATTTTTTATGACTGTTCTCTGGGCGAATGCACCCGTACAAAGTGGACAATTTCCTTTCAAAACCGAATCACCCAGTCACAATTTTTTAGGTTTCTGCCAGACGTAACGAGTTCTTATTAATTTTTTATAAAAACTATAACATTAATAAAGATTCTAATGCAAGGATAAAGCATAATCTAATAAAGCTCGATTTTGTGAAACATTGCTTTGTTTCGAACAAGATGCGTTGAAAATATATGAGTATAAACGCACAGCAGTCTGCTTTCCATTATTCTATAAGATACGTGATGAAGAATTGTTCTATCTTCCATCCAAAGGCTATGTTTAGTTGCTCTTCATCGTTCTTTTGTTGAGGTAATGCAGGATGTATTACTTTCATATTACGTACGGCAAAGGAGTGGAACCCGCCTACCATCAAATTACATATAACGGTGGTAAATCTTAGAATGTAATTTATATTGTACATGTATTATTTCCTATGGTGAAGATCTAGTGTTAGTGTCAATTGTCATAAAAGTCTAGCCTTCTAATAACCGGGGGTGTAACATAGTCTCGAAAAAACAAACTTTTTATTTTAAAATTTTGATCATGGAACATAATAAACGCAATAAAAACGTGTCTTGGCTGAAGGTTGGTAAACCTACTGCGATCGCGCGGAGCTAAATTCGTGGAAACTTAGGCTTTTCACGAGCTCTGTGCCTGATGAACCCTTATATAACTCAAGGACTGAAAGCGCCAGTGGTAGACTTGATCCGTTGGCCGCCCTAGGCACATGAGCGATTGCCGCTGCCCTACACGTTATAAAGCGCAAAAAATAAAGTAAAATACTCATCAGGTCCGCTTGATTTATTATAATTTTCACAGAATATCTATCGCCTACGCGAAGGAGCTAGAAGCGATAGGCGCGACTACTTAAAATAATCCCACTAATTTCCCGCCCCCTAAATTTTGCCGCCCTAGGCCCGGGCCTACTCGGCCCTTAGGGGCCAAAAATTGAAAAAAAAAAAAACAAAAGCCGATAAAGATTAAATTAGTGGTACACATTGGGGCCACAGTGTAATTGATAATTGAACCGCGCAGGCCAACGGAGCTGGACGCGTTGGTGTTCGGCCACGTGTTCACAATCATCACCACGCGCCTCCCCTGCCGGAAGCTGGCCGATATCGTCCGCCGACACGAGACTTTGGTCACCCTGGCCAAGCGTATCGACGAGCAGTACTTCAAGCGGCCATAGCGCGAGGTCTTCAAGGACATCTCGACCGTGTTTAGAAGTCCTTGAACCCTCACTCCGTAATAGAACACTGTAGTGTTAAGTCACAATTCTTCCTAATGTGTATATCGGTAATGGTAATTAAAAATGGATATTGTCTCCTTTAACTGTTGTTGGTATATCGACGTAAATGATAACGCATTTAATTTTAGATCCGTCTTAACTAATTCATGTATTGTTATTATAATGACTTAATCACCCTACCTCCTGTAAGGCGCTTTTGTTTTATAAATAGAATCCATGATATGTTTTATTGTCCTTCATTTAGCTGTAAGGAAGTACATATTTAATTTTTGGTTACAAATAACTTAAAATTACTAAATTACTTAATTAAGAAATGTTCGACATTTTCAAGTGAGTTGTCAATGTGGTAATGTATGTTAAGTGATAAAAATACAGGATTTTTAAATAACTAAAGTAAATTTTCACCTAATTGACGGTAAACTGAAATTCTGTTAAAAAATTGTTCGTTTTGATAGTTCTAATGTCCATTAATAGTTAAACAAGGCAGACAGTTGTTGCCGATTTATTCACAAATCCTAATTATATAGAAAATCAATCTTGAATTGCATCAGTCGCCAGACTATTTGTTGTAAGTTAAATAATGAAAAGAATGTCGTAGATAGCTTTTACACACATAGCATTGTAAGAGCATACATCTTAATTAACTCGCTGATGTTCACTGTATTAAAATATCTAGCAATGTAATTTGTTGTAAATAACATATGATGATTTAGATTTAGTGTGAATTGTAATTAGCGCAAATTTTATATCATAAATTTAGCGTAGTCCATTTGTGCGATTATAACATTTCAAGGCCATGTAGAGATGATTTATTATGTAATAATTTAAATTAATGCATGTTGTCATTTGTTTCGATAATTTTATAAATGTAAAGAAGAAGGAATGTCAAATTAAAATATTTACATAAGTAAAACAAGAATATTTGTTTTACTACTACTTTACTAATTATATATACATTACATTTCTTTCCGATGTATAAAAAACAGTACACAGTAAAAATTAAACAGTTTTGCGTTCCTCTTAATTGAAAAACACTTGTAATTTTCGATTGTTGACGTAGGACCATTCTTCTGCAGTGAATGGTCAACATTTACTTCCGTAAGCAGTAACAGTTTAACTTGTGCCTGATATCCACTAGAATCGAAAGTTATCTTTAAACATTATTCTAACAATCAGTTTTCTTCATCTGAGTAACATTATGGTTATTTATTTTATATATGTTCATTTTTATAAAAATTAGGCTAGGCAAGCTGATGACATATTATATAGTTGAAGATGAATTCCATTTAAAGGTCTTCCTTTATTTGTTGCCCTATACAGCTGTTTCGTTGCCAGTTACGGTTTTTTGCTAAAATTTCTTTTGTGTAACAAAATTACTTCGTCCGATAATGATAAATTGAAGAAACAGTTAAAATACTTTTTCGATAAAAAATCGATAAACTCAATATAATATTTATATACATATACAAAAGCAAGCAAAATATTTTTTTTATGGAATAGTCTTAATGTTACTGTTGTCTTCTATATTTAATAAATAGTTATAATTGGATTATTGATAATCTTTTGAATTATTGTATTCGGGATATGTTGTATGAAATAAAATATTATATAATATGGTTTATGGTCTTTATGTAGGATGTCAACCAATTTGTTAAATTCATTTCGTGTATTAATTGTCATATAGAAAGCATTTAGTGCAAAGAATGTGTTGGTGGGCCCTTGCTTTGTAATGTTTATAAGCATTTCTACATTTTTGTTGTTTTGTTTGTATTATTAAGTACAATGTTATGTTGATTATATGAAATATCGTTTAAATACATTGTGTATTGTGAAAACTGTTTTATTACTGGTTATTTTCAAACTTCTTTAGGTTTTTTAGTAGTACAGTGAAATTCAGCTTACTAGAGCAACCCTAGGTCAAATCCCTACGATTTGTATGGATGCATATATGCATATAATGGCTACAACTTTTATATAATATATAGCTTCACAGAAAACCATCGTGAAATAAAAGTAATATATTTTTGAGTTTCCTCTGATGAGTGCTAGTGCTGTAAAAACACTGAGGTTTTTTAAAGCTTGGCAACGCCCCTGTGAAAACTCCAGAGTAAAAAACAATCGTAATGTTGACACATAATTGTGAATGCAAGTATTAGATTGGTGCATATAAAATAACGTCTTCTCTTAAAATTTCTACATCAACGTCAGCGTTTAAAAGTTCAACGTAACAAAGTATAAAGAAAACAGGGGGACTGTTTTCGTTATACTTTTGTAATAACCTGGCTCCTAGTCTTTCACAGTCTTTCACGTGGTAAATTTTGCAGGAAAAAATTATTGGCCCAAATTTTTTCATACCAACGCTACATTCTTCGGTGTTTCCAAACCACTCGACTACTCCCGGTGCAAGGATTTTTAAAATGCTGAATAAAAATCGGACAACTTTTGTATTGGTGTATTTGGTATCCATCACAATAAGTAATTTCCCCATAAAACACAATCAACACACGTCCACAAAATACTTTAACTTAATTTTCAAATGAACTTCCTAACGGTGGCGTTATCATTAAAACCATTAAAACGAGTTTACTCTAAAACGAAGTTGTCTTTATACATTATTCGCGTTTTACGTTTTTTTTTAAACTCAAAATATTCGGTTGGTCACTACATACAACTCAAAATAAATACATTCTTCATTAGACAATTTTGGACATGCTACTAATGTACTACAACATTCTTAACTATAACATTCACTCTCCTCTCAAATTGTCTAAGGAAGGCGTGCGAGATAAAACGAAAAACATTTTTTTATGCACATCACGAGTCTCGATGGAGATGGTTGGAGTGTTGTGCAGTTTCTTAAAGTTGCTCTGGTGTACGGAGCTTCTAGATTCTTCTGGTCTGGCTAAGGATCATTTGACGCACGCTGAAGGTAGACAGGCCGAGACCGATGGCAGCCAGGGCGAACGCGGATCTCGACATCATCTTCTCACGGCTCGCTGGCTGCGGAGAAAAGAAAAAAAAATTGCTTAACGCTTTTTTTATGTGACAAGTTGGCAAGCGGGCAACCTTCACCTGATGTTAAGCGATCGTCGCCCCCCATGGACTTCTAAAACAGCTGACGGGTTGCAGATACGTTGCCAACGGTTAAGAAGTCCCGAACCAGACACGAAATGCGATTAAGTTTCCACTTCACGCCTTATGCGAGGCCGTGGTACTGGCCCGGACGAGCCTGCCCAGAGCAGCAGCTGCTGCGTCGCCCTACCACTTGCGATTATTATCGCTCCCTTTTTTTTACATAAACATAAACAATCGGTTTGTTTAGCGCCATGTATTACTTTAACGCATTGTAGGCGGTTCTGAGCGGAATGCACATAAAGGAACAAGTGGCGGGTCATCGTATCAAAAGGTAGGTTGTTGAACCGGCGGAGTGAGTGATGCATACGAAGCACTTGCAACTGAATCGCTTATTTGTTTGTCTCGGCTGGTTGCTAAGCTATTAGCCTTGAACCTGGTTTAATTTTTATTTTAAAGAGATATGAAACAAAAAGCGGTGTTAAATAATGGGTCGATTCCCGTCTTTTCACCTTTTACAGCTTGAGCCCTCGACTGCTTAAACAGTGATTAATCACCGGAAGAAATATATAAGTGTGTAATAACTTCTATCGTGTATTTATTAAAAATTTAGTAAAAATTCACATTTTAACTTTTATCCGACTGAGTTCCAACAAAGACTAGCAGTAGAAGAAGTTAAATCAAGCATAGGTTACAACAAGCCGCCATACCCTAGCTACTTTGTTTACAGATTGTAGAGAACAGCTTCTTAGATACAAAACTAAGGTTCATCAACAAAAGTTAATCTACGTGTAGGGAGTTAGGGACGTTTCGCATAAATTGCCTTAACTGTAAATAGTGATGAAATTGAAAATAAATAACTAAAAAATGCATTGTACATCACACATCTTGATTATTATGAACACCGAGGTATTTCTGTTGTGCATTATTTATAGGTTCAGAGCAATGTGACTGAGGGAAGAAGAGTAATCAGCGGTCATGTGAACGCAGTTTATTTATAAACTGTTCTCGACACTCGGCGCCACTCCTTTTTGAATAGCCGCTGCAATTGGCCGCGAGACAAAATGTACGCGACATAAACATGCCACACGAACATACAAATACTGTATTCAGCTCTTGCATTATGTAATTGAAAAACGTACATTCTGTTTTTAAATCTAGATTTTTTCTTAAAAAAAGGAGACAAACGAGCATGCGGGCCAATTTTTTAAGCTTTGTTGGCCTTTGAGATAGGACTAGCCTCTCTTCTTGAAGATCCCTAAGTCAATTCAGTTCCCTATCAGTTCGGAAATACCGCTGTTGTCAACGGATTTCACAAATTCGTTGTGCATGGAAAACGCACGGTGGTCGACAGTTGACTAATCCGCTGGATGGATGAGACAAATTCCTCGGATCTCTCGCGTGCTGAATCTGATCATTCGTCTGGTATACGGCGAGAGGCTCGTCATTTGTTAGTGGGGATTTTAATAGACACAGTAAGTAAGTTATATAAAAGCAAATTACAGATTTTTATCACACGTTTAATTTTGCTTTTAATTCATGACGTTTCAAATATACTGAGTCCAGGGAGTACGAGACAGCAAAAATCTACCAGTATAAAATCTGTCAGTATTAAAAGGTTCGAGTTGTATTGTTCTAATTTTAGATTTTCCTTGTATTCTATTTAAAACACTATTCTTTACATTTTCTATCAAGTTTAATTACAAAGTTTATTGAGCAACGGTGAACCGTGTAACTTTGACTTTTTGTTCTATCGCAACAAAACAGTTGCACAATCCTAAGTAACTACGTTATAGATGATGTACTTTTTTTTTTTTAAATTATTATGTTAGCTTACGCTTTACGCATTAAAAATATTACTAGAT